CCCCAGATGCTGTATTTCTAAGAAGCTTCCAGGAGTACCAATGCTGCTGCTGGCCCAGGACCACACTTGGAGTAGCAAGGTGCTGGAATCTTGCTCTACAAGACCCTTTCCACCCTGCTCTGAGCCCTGGGAGGCTGACCATGAGCACTACTCAGAGGGCGCAATGAGGAGCAGGATGAGGGTGAGGCCAGATCTCTGAGGATTCTCCCTAATGGGTTGCTGGGAGTTGACTGTGTCTCTCTACTAAAGGCTCCTATAGGTTAGTGTTTTCCAGTTTTCTCTCTTGCAGAATTCCTGTCACTGCTCTCTCCTTCGGGCCTGGGGTGGTTATGGTTCCCTACTATTTTCAACCTTAGAATATTGTTCTACCCCCTGCGACTCTTAATGATCCCTACCCACACTCCGGTAACTAGTCCTGCACTGGATGTTCCTCAGCCCCTCTGCCAAGTAAGTGTGCCATTTTCTACAAGCACTCCTGAATGTAGGATTTTTTATATTAAGCTCATTGTGTATCATCTAAAATGATTTAATAAATCATGATACGTTTGCTTACTGATGCTACACCCAACCATTTAAAAGGATGCAGCAAACCTGTACTCATCTGCGTGGAAAGATGACCAAACTATGCCTTAAATGAAACAAAAATAATGAAGCAAAGTTCAAAATAGCATGCATAGTGTGACCCCTTTCATTTAAAAAGTAAAGTGTGCATTTGTTAAATGTTGGATTGCAAGTGATGACCATCCTGTTCAAACTTAACCAAAAAGAATGGGGGAGGGTAGGTTTTCTGACTGAGCCTCTTCCTGTCATTTGTCTCTATTTCCTGAGGGGTGTCTTCATTCTCAGGCAGGCTATCTTAAGAGGTGGCAGAGCTAGCGCCCGTTTGGCTTACAACGTCCTGACACCTGACAGCTGACAACCTCTCCAGAGAGGGCCTTGTTCCTGATTTCTTAAATAAAAAATCCTGGACTGAAACTACCTTGCACCACACAGACTAAGAGTGAGGGAGGGAGACTTCCTCTCTCTACCCCCCAAAAGGAGGTGTTTTCTTAGAGCAGGAGAAGCAGGGAATGTATAAGCAACAACAGTCCATCTAGAGGAATATTGGTAATGGATATTTGTTATCATTTTTGGCTTCCCAGAATAGGAAGCTTCTTCCTATACTGGATAGTCTCCAACTTTCTGGGGCATCTGTACTGCAGTCTACCTCCTGCTGTAGATGCTGAAAATGCCAGAAACGCACTTTTCCTGCCGCCTTTTCTGCTAGGTAGACCACATAACCCAAACTGGGCCTTTTAAATGCCCTCATCTCAGCCTCTGGCCCTGAAGCTGGTGACACCAAAAAAAGCCTGCGCAAACTTCATTCTGGAAGAAGGTATAGTCCTGGCAGGACTTGGAACATTGTGCCTGGTTGTGGGGTTGTGGGGTCTCTTAGGTCAATTCTTTGGCCCTGATGTGATCTGTGAGCTATAGAGGAAATTGATATTAAATCTCCTGTTTAAGTTATCCAAAAGCTGAACTTTTGCTTCTTCAAGATGTTTGATTAATACCTATTTGTATGTGCGCATGTTTGTATAACTCATGCAATGTTTTTGGAAACAAAATAAATGTGATTATCAGTTACCCATGGGGGAAGGGACTGGAAGAATGTGGGAAGAGGAACAGGGACTATTTCCTTTTCTGTCTGCCCTTTAGCATCACAGGCTAACTCACTTTACTGTGTTTTGATTTATTGTGCTTCACAGACACTGTGCTTTTACAGATGAATGTTTGTGACCACCCTGCCTCCAGCAAGTTTAAAAGCACACCTTTTTTCCCCCCAGAAGCACGTGCTCACTGTGTGTCTGTGTTATGATTTGGTAATTCTTGCAAGATTTCAAACTTTCCTTTATTATCATTATTATATAATAATGGTGACCTATATGGTGACCTTTGCTGTTACCATTGTATTGCTTTGAGATTCCACCATATAAGATGGCCAGCTTAATTGATAAATATTGTGTGTCTTCATCCTGGCACTGAAGCCATTTGCAATCTAAGACCTATATCTTTTCAAGACTTTTCTTATATTTACACTTTGCCCAAAAGACATTTTTTTCACAGCCCGACTGGCCCAGAACCCAAGGGCATTTCCATCTTCTTTGATCTGCCAATGCCATGACCCTTATTTCTTTCTATGCATTATAATTCTACATCTATTTAGCTAGTTACTGAATCATTATGTCTGAGTACCTACTGTATGTCTGCCCATTTGCTAGATGTTGGACCACAGCTCACAGACTATGGACACTAATTACCCCAGCTCAGAATGTTAATATTATCACAAAGGGAAAGCGGTGTAAGCAATTTGCAGACAGGGCTGCTCTTCTTGAAACCTATTTCCCTCTGCTGATTGCATTTCCCCAAAAGTCAGTATAACTTGATTTCTCAATTTCTTCAAGTCTCTGTGAAAATACCACATTCTTAGTGACACCTTCCCTACCCACACTGTTATAAAAGAACATCCCACTTGCTCTCCTATTTATCTGCATCTTACATGCAAGTTACTTACTTATATGTACAGTTGTCTCTTTCCACTGACAGCTCCAGAAAAGCAAGGATTTTCATTGGTTCCTGCAGCTTCTCCAGCATCTGGCACAGGGCTTGACACACAATAGGCACTCAGTAAAGATGTGTGAGGACAGCTGGAGACTTGGACTAGATGTCAGAATGCCTGGGTCCTAGTCACTGCTCTTCTGGAGGACAGCTGTTTGTGGTCTTATTAAGACATGTTCTCTTGGGCCTCCCTGGTGGCGCAAGGGGTTAAGCACCAAATTATGGAGCAATCCACAGCCTCTGCAGCCTCTGCAGCATGAGTTTGATCCCCTGCCCGCCAGGGAGGAAACCCATATAGCGAAGCAGACCTCTCCTGTCTCGCCTGCTGCTCCCCTCAGCAGTGTATTTCAGTCAGTCTGCCTGTGTTCTGTTCCCCACTCTGTCTCTGGTGAGTCCTCTCACTCCCCTGCATCTCTGGCCTGTACCCCAGCTCTTGTATGCATAAATAAATAAACCTTTTTTTTTTTTTAAAAAAAAGACACGTTCTCTTTAAGTCTCAGTTGCTTCTTCTGTAATTTGGAGGTGATCATCTGGGCCCTTCCTGGCGACTGACAGGTCTGCTATGAGGATCAAATAGTGGGTATCAAGCTTTAACCTGCATCTGTTCGAATCACCTGGATTGTTAAAATACAGATGTCTTGGGGCCTCCCTGGTGGTGCAAGGCGTTAAGACACAACCTATGAAGCTTGCGGCAGTCACTGCATCATGGGTTCCATCCCCCGCCGGGAAGCTACCCACATGGTGCAGCAGACCTCTCCTGCCTCGCCAGCTGCTCCCCTCAGCAGTGTATTTCAGTCAGTCTGCCTGTTCTGTTCCCTGCTCTGTCTCTGGTGAGTCCTCTCACCCCCACGCTCTGGCCTGTACACCAGTTCTTGTATGTATAAATAAATAAATCTTAAAAAAAAATACAGATGTCTGGGCTTTAAACTCAAGAGTTTCTGAGTAGGTTTGGGCTGGAGTCAGAACATTTTTCTGGTACCAATGTCTCAGATGGTGCTGATGGTCGAATCACTGATGAAGAGAGACATGATCCAGGCTCTAGCTCTAATGTCTGCCCCAGATAAGGGCCAGCATTAGGGTCCGGTTGGATATAGTAGGGGAGTGAACCGATTATTGTTGGTTTTTTATTCAGTCAACTACAATTTAATAAGTGTGGCCCCAGTGCCAGGGTTGGGGGGGTCAGCAGCCCAGGCCACTGCCAGGCTCGTGAGGTGGTGGTGACCGCGGCGGCCTCTACTCCAGCCCAGCGTTCCGCGGCTTGCAGCGTGAGGAGGGCTGGGCAGCCGCTCCACCCTCACCCCGGGCAGGATGTCTCCCGCGCCGCCCGGGAGGGCCGCAAGCGGGCGCCACAAGGGGGCGGACCCGCCAGCCCGGGTGAGGGACGCAGCTCGGAGTTTCCCGGTACCCGCTGTCCCTGCCGGCCGCGGCTGTGGAGACTCGGCTTCAGCCCGGGCGCGGCCGGCACACAGTGGGCGCGGGGGGGACTCGGAGAGGGGACGGCACACAGTGGGCGCGCGGGCGGGACCCGGAGAGAGGCCGGCACACAGTGGGCGAGCGGGCGGGACCCGGAGAGAGGCCGGCACACAGTGGGCGCGCGGGCCGGTCCGGGAGAGAGGCCGGCACACAGTAGGCTCGCGGGCGGGTCCGGGAGAGAGGCCGGCACACAGTGGGCGCGCGGGCGGGACCCGGAGAGAGGCCGGCACACAGTGGGCGCGCGGGCGGGACCCGGAGAGAGGCCGGCACACAGTGGGCGCGCGGGCGGGTCCGGGAGAGAGGCCGGCACACAGTGGGCGCGCGGGCGGGTCCGGGAGAGAGGCCGGCACACAGTGGGCGCGCGGGCGGGTCCGGGAGACAGGCCGGCACACAGTGGGCGCGCGGGCGGGTCCGGGAGAGAGGCCGGCACACAGTGGGCGCGCGGGCGGGTCCGGGAGACAGGCCGGCACACAGTGGGCGCGCGGGCGGGACCCGGAGAGAGGCCGGCACACAGTGGGCGCGCGGGCGGGTCCGGGAGAGAGGCCGGCACACAGTGGGCGCGCGGGCGGGTCCGGGAGAGAGGCCGGCACACAGTGGGCGCGCGGGCGGGTCCGGGAGACAGGCCGGCACACAGTGGGCGAGCGGGCGGGTCCGGGAGAGAGGCCGGCACACAGTGGGCGCGCGGGCGGGACCCGGAGAGAGGCCGGCACACAGTGGGCGCGCGGGCGGGACCCGGAGAGAGGCCGGCACACAGTGGGCGCGCGGGCGGGTCCGGGAGAGAGGCCGGCACACAGTGGGCGCGCGGGCGGGACCCGGAGAGGGGCCGGCACACAGTGGGCGCGCGGGCGGGCAGAAGGGGGCGCCCGTGCGCGGTATCCGGGGGCGGAGCCGGCGCGGCCGGCGGGGCAGACGGGCGCGGGCCGCGGGCCGCGATGGGCGAGGGCGGGCTGCCCCCGGCCTTCCAGCTGCTGCTGCTCGCCTGCGACCAGGGCGACACGGACACGGCGCGGCGGCTGCTGGAGCCGGCGGCGGCGGAGCCCGCAGAGCGCGGCGCGGAGCCGGAGGCGGGCGCGGAGTCGGCGGGGGCCGAGGCGGCCGGGCCCGGGGCGGCGGCTGCGGCCGGAGCGCCGGTGCCCGTAGACTGCTCGGACGAGGCCGGCAACACGGCGCTGCAGTTCGCCGCGGCCGGGGGCCACGAGCCCCTGGTGCGTTTCCTGCTGCGCCGCGGCGCCTCGGTCAACAGCCGCAACCACTACGGCTGGAGCGCGCTCATGCAGGCGGCCAGGTGAGGGGCCGGGGCGCCGGGGTCCCGGTGGGGCGTCCTGGGGCCCGTGGAGCGCGGGCGGGTCCCTCTCTGGCGGCCGCCGGGGCTGCTCGTCGGCCCCCGCAGATTCGCAGGGAGATGAAGAGTCAAGGACTCGTTGGAGAGTTGGCTCGGTAGACTTTGAGCAGCTTGGACACGAGAAGTGAAGTGCTTTTAATAAGGTAAAACTAGCATCTTGGAAATGTTGGCCTTTCAAAACAGAATCTAGAGCCTGCGAATACAATCTTAAAGACGTAGAATCTCAGAAGTGTCCCTTTCTTGCAACAAGGAGTTCCTGAGAACCTCCTGGCTGCACACCCTAGTTTGGCACTGGGAATACTAGGGGATACAAGTTAAGTCCCCATCGGGAGCAATTCACGCGCTGGTGGGCAGGCCAGACAAGGACACAAGCTTTATAGGGAAAGTTCTGGGAACTCCAGAGGTATCCGACCCAGTTTGGGGAGGTAGATAAAGTTTCTGTAAAAATGATGGATATATTCAAATCGAGATCTGAGGACTGGAAAAAATTAACCAGGACAGAGGTGGGAGGTGGGAACAGAATAATAGAAGGCCCATGCGAAGGTTTGGAAACAAAAGCAAACCTCAGAACTGTTAGAAGGATGTTGTGTCTGGGGCTTGGGGATGGGGGTGGGAGACTTGGCGATGAACCCTTCTGGAGAGGAGGAAGCAGGTGCCAAGTGGCAGGGCTGAGAAAGGTGAACTCTCCTGAAAGCTCTAGGTAGTTAGCAGAATCAAATTCGAGTTTTGGAAAGCTTACTTTCACCGCAGTGTGAGAATGGATGAAGGGGTGGGCTATAGTCAGAGAGGCTGGTTCAGAGGGGATTGTAGTAGTTCAGTAAGAGCCTGGACAGAGCAGAGACAGTGAGGGGAGCAAAAAGATTGAGTTTGAGATGTACTCAGGAATTGAGTTTGAGATGTACTCAGGAAATAGGATGAACAGGACTTGAAACCATGGTATAAAGAATTACAGTGAAGTCTCGTATGTCAGACATCTACTTAGGCCCCCAGCCCTTTCTTGCAAGGAGAGAATGTAGGTTATTTGTGATTTGGATGGCTTGTTGCCATATTGCTCTTCATACAGGTGTATTAGTTTCTCATGGATGCTGTAATAACTTAGCACAAAGTCAGCAGCAATCACCTCCCTCCATCCCCTGCTTCTGTTATCGTAGCTTCTGATTCTGATTCTTCTGCTCCCCCCCTTCCACATTTAAAGGACCCTTGTGATGACATTGGGCCCACCCAAATAGGCTAGGCTATACTCCTCATTTTAGTGTCCTCTGATTAGCAACCTTACTTCTGTGACCTTAATTTCCACTTTGCTATGGAACCTGGTTTCATTACATGACCTTTCACTTAAAGTCGCATTTCCTAAGAACCATTAAATGAAATTAAGTGAAGATGTACTGTACAGGGAAAGCAGATCCTCCAATAATGTCTTTTATTCAACATTGCTGGAATTCTTTTATCTTCATCAATGTTATAATGAAAAGACACTGACGGAAACAGTGTTGCTCAAGAACTGTGATTACAGGTTTTGCGTTTAGTATGTGGATGTCTGTGGGCCCCCTATCCTTCCGAACATAGTCCTTGCCTAGTTTCCCTCCAGCAGCACTGTATGTGGGTGCTGTTTTATATGGCTTTGCCAACACAGTATGTTATCAAACTTTCAGATTTTTGTGTCTGAGTGTTGAAAAATTGAATGTCAGTGTGGCTGTGATTTGCATTTTTTAAAATTGTGAATGAAGCAAAGTGTCTTTCCAGATGTAAGAGCCATTTGTTTTCCTAAAAGCATTGAAAACTCAAGGACATTCTTACTCATAAGTTGCTCATTGTGTCCAGGTAATATTTTATTTCTCTGAGTTTTTTCTAAGCCATACACAGTTGTTCTAATGAAGTTTAATTTGTTGCTAGCAAAATTTTATCCTGCAGTATTTTCAAATACACTGTTTTCAACTGCTGTGTGATAGTCCATCCTTGGGACAATTGGTGGTTTACTTAACCCTCCTCAGCCTTTGAACATTTATGTCAATTGGCCTATACTATATGTAAAGAATATACCGTAGCTTTAATGCACAGACTGCCTCTATGCTTAAGCAATGCAATGTTTTATGCACCTATTAGCTTGTTGGGACTCTGTCTTAAGAGACCTGACTTCTTGCCCAGAACAGTTGGAGGTTACCAGAAAGTCTTTGGGGTTGTGGACCTTTCTTCTAAGGTTCTGTTTCTATTAGTGGCCCTATACACTCCAGGTAAAACCTCAACCCTAGTGCTCACCTGCACTATGGCCAGGTCTGCCCATCTGCCTGCCAAAGCCTGTGATCCAGGCCACTGGTGTGTAGAAGCCTTAACAGCTCTTCCTTCCTCTAGTCGTGCATTCTCTAATCCATGCTCCACAGAACTTCCAGATCTTTCTGAAATGAACATTTGACTGCCTCTCCCGTAATGGCTCTCATTGGAACCCTTAACCAAGTATTTGAGGCTCTCTCATGTGACACCTTCCTGCATTCTCTCTTCTGCTTTACCCCTGGCTTCTAAACTCAGGCCAAGATGATTTTCATACAGACCTTCTCTATGCCTCTCCATAGGATCCCCTCCCCCTCCCCATCAACATTTTTTTGAGCATTTATTATGTGCCAGGAATATCATCTCCACTTTGCAAGTGAGAATTTGAGGTTACAAAATTTGCTCATGAGCATACTGCTAGTTAGAGCAGATATGGGGGGGGGTCTGACTACAGAAACCAGACCCATAGGGGGTCTGACTACTGTTCCCAGTGAAGCACCCCTCTTCCCTCTTCCCACCTAGTGCTTGTGACCCCTCATTACAGCTGGCTGCCTTCCTGGTACCCAAACCTGGCCGCACATCAGGCTCACCAGATGCTTTTCCAGATCAGATGCCCGTGTTCCCTTTCTGGAATTATGATTCAGGAGACCTGATGGTGAGGGACTCTTAAAAAAGCCTCCCTAGAGATTCTCTGATATAGTCAGAGGGTTAAGGACTGCTGATGTGTGGTTAATTTCTGAGCTCCCACCTAGTGGAGGGGGTTCTGGGGGCCATGCAGGGTGAGCTTTGTGTCTATAGCACCAGGTATGATTCCTGGTGTCCCAGAGGCCCCTGATCACCACTTTATGCTGTTATTTCTGCAGGATGGCCGGAGTCATCTAATTAATTTCATCTGATTAATTTCTGTTCCTCTTGATGGGCCAGGAGATGTAGAAGAATTTAAAAACCTGTTCTAATAGTTAACTATAAACGTTTTTAGAGGACTTTTCTTCTCTACATTTTGGTATTGTAAAGACTGGAATTTGTGGTCCAGGTGTCCCCATCTTTCAGATGGAGAGGCTCTGGGTTAATTTTGTTCCTCTGTTTCCCTCTGTCTTACAGGTACTAATTTAGGAGTATTAGCAATGACATACTCTCTTATTTATTTTTATGAGAATATGGCTAAATATGACAAGTCTGTAAGAGATTGGAATTGACTTTTGTCCTTTATTTGGACCTAGACAGGACCCGGGTACTTTAAAATTCATTGTTCTTCATTTGTGGATGTTGGGTCGTGTTCAAGGGTTCTGCCTAATTCACATCAAAAGCTCTGTGTTGAGGAATAAGTTCTGGAGACTTCTGAAGGATGTACGGTGTGTCCAACTCTCCGATCAGGACAGGCAGATGCACGTCCCACACTAGTGCTCTTTTCCCTGAATCAAATATGCTTCAGCGTGTCTTCAGAGATGTTCCCGGCAACTTCCACTTTTGATTAACATGACCACTGTTTATCATCCCTGCTCTGAGTTTCTGAGCTCATCACTAAGCTTTGGATGAGGCCAATCCGACAGGCAGTGTGCCTGGACTGCAGTCAGTTTCGTCTGTTCAGATTGTTTAGTACCAGAAACGGATATATTCATATTTTTCCCCTCTACTTAAAATAATAGATCACCTTTACTGAGCACTTACTTTGTGTCAAACACTGTGCTAAGTATTTCAAATTAACTCAGTCGATTTGCCCAAAACTTTAGGAGGTTGGTATTTTTGTCATTTCCATTTTACAGCTGAGGAATGAGACTCAGAGACATTAAGTAACTTGTCCAAGGCCACACAGCTACCAAGAGGCAGAGGCAGAGTCAGCCTAGACACCAGAGCCCCAGAAGCCCCAGCCTCAGCAGGTAATTGCCTCTCAGCCATGAACCCCATGACTGCTTTCCTCTTGGTGTAGGCCACAAGGAAGCTGCTCACCAAATTTGTCAAATGCTAACGAGACAGGTAGGTGTTTACTTTGGATCTAACTTCATCCTTGGCCTGTTTAACTCCCTCCTTTTCCCTTTCATTCATCCGCTTGCCTTTGTGACAGCTGGATTCTCAGTCTAGTGCTCTGGAGTGAGCACCAGGTCTTTAAATTCAGGTGTTACTTGCTGGAATTAATGGGTAATCATAGCAGCTGTTTAGAACCCCCTGAATACCCCCTATATCCAGTAATTACTGGTTTGAAATTAGCTACACACATTATCTCAACCTTCATTGGATCCTTTTATTTTTCAGCTGAATTGAATGACCTCTTGGGCTTCCCACAAGTTCAGAAAACATTCCAAATTTCTGCTTAAATTCAATGTTTTTCTTTGATGACAATGTGTTATACTGGAAGAGCTAGGGCCCTGGTTCTTGTTTCAAGTTTTGACTCTGTCACATGCAAATTGAGAGACTTTGGATTGTTGTTTTCCATTCTGATCTCAGCTTCCTGGTCTGTGAAGTGGGTTTTTTTAAAGATCAAATGAGATTTTAAAAATGTAATAGTACCTTATGATTTGCTACTAGGAATTATGCTAGATTTTGGTCATAGTGGTCATTCATTTATTCACTCAGTCATCTGACACAATTTCCTGAGCTCCACCCTGGGTCAGAAGCCCATTGCTGTCTGCATTTGAGCTTAATTTCAGCATGGCTTACCTGTCTCTTCTCTTGGGAAGAAACTGGACAGGTCTAGCCCACTACACTGGGAAGCCAGTTTACAAGCTCTCTGCAGGTCTGCAGGCTGACCCGGTGCTGTTAAGGGTCATGTCCCAGAAGGTATTTGTAAGTTCAGACCAGAGTTCAGCCTTGGCTTGGCCTCCACAGGCAGCAGGGAGGCCCTATGTTTAGATGAGGCACAAAAGTCCCTTCTAGGAAAGAGGGGTGCATGTCAAGAAACTCAGAAAGCTGCCTTGCCAATACGGACATTATGCAGGCGGTATGGCCACGTAAAAGCTGGCACAGCCAGCCCTTCTCTTCTTGTCGTTATTTCCTTAATTCCAGTCCCCTCCAGCTCTGATACACACTGCTGAGCCCAGAAAGAGGGTGCCAGCCAAAAGCCCTGCAAAAAAGAACTTTTCTACCCTCTGGCAGCAGCAGAAAGAAGATCTTTTTCTGGGAAACCCTGTTTTAACCTTCCTGCCACTAGAGAATTGGGGGGAAGGGGCATGTCTTTCTCCCCAGTGTTGCAGCGTGGCTTCTCAGCAGAGCTGAGCTCAAGCTTCACCAAGGGTCTGGTGCACGGGTTCATTGGTGAAGGAAACTCTATGGGGACTACACCTGAGGGGTGGGGGGAAGCAAATATTGTTAAAAATGAACAACGATGTAAAAAAATTAAAAAAAAATTAATAAAAAAAGAAAAGGAGGGTCTGGCCCAGGCCCTATTCTCAGCCTCTGGCAGTGTACATTCCTGCCAGCAGATGGCAGCAAGCCCCTGGAGACATGCTGGAGCCCCTTTCTGCTGACCACTGCCACGTCACACCTCTTGGCATGGGGTCCATGGTCTCATCTAGAAGGCCTCCTATGTATGTGAGTTTGGGATTGGGGAGGGTGAACACGAATCAGACACTGGCCCTGCTGGTGAGGAAATCCAGCACAGACAGAGACTGATTGCCACGCTATAAAGCAGAGAAAAGAATGGTCTGAGATATGGGAGACAGGGTAGTGTAGGGAAAGAGGGAGGATTCAGCAGACCTGGCTTCTGACCCTGATGCCGTCCCTTAGCAGCCGACTGACCTTGGAATGTTGCCCAGTGTAAAACAGTCACAAACATTATAGCTAACATTTATGTGGTGCTTCCTTTGCCAGACTGTTCTAGGTGTTTTTTATATACTCTAAATGGATTATACCTTCAATCATTTAATCCTTAGTAGTCCTTGTTGAAACAATTACAACCCCACTTTACAGATGAGCACATGAAGGCATGAAGAAGCTAAAGTGCTTTTTCAAGGTCTGGATTTGAACCTTACAGGGCAGCCCTCACCTTTGAGGGTTCATATGTGAGGCCAGCCCAGTGCCTGGTCCAGAGAAGACAGCTCTCATGCCTTGAGCAATTAATACCAGTGAGGATTTCCTGTGCTGCTTCCTTACCAGCTCCATGTTTACTGTCCCTAATTTTCTACCTTTCTGGCAGATTTGGGCACGTGAGCGTGGCACACCTCCTTTTGGACCACGGGGCTGATGTCAATGCCCAGAACCGGCTAGGGGCCAGTGTGCTCACCGTAGCCTCCCGAGGTGGCCACCTGGGCGTGGTGAAGTTGCTCTTGGAAGCCGGTGCCTTTGTGGACCCTCAAAACCCCTCTGGCGAGCAGCTGGAGCCAGGGGACAGCAGGGATGAGCTGCTGGACATCTCAGCCCTGATGGCCGCCATCCAGCATGGGCATGAGGCTGTGGTGCGTCTTCTGATGGAGTGGGGCGCCGACCCCAACCACACAGCCCGGACTGTGGGCTGGAGCCCACTAATGCTGGCAGCGCTCATAGGAAGACTTGGGGTGGCTCAGCAGCTGGTCGAGAAGGGGGCCAACCCTGACCACCTCAGCGTGCTGGAGAAGACTGCCTTTGAGGTCGCACTTGACCGCAAGCACAGGGACCTTGCACACTACCTGGACCCACTGACCACCGTCAGGCCCAAGACAGGTCAGACTGCCCCCCTGCTCCTACCATGCCTCACAGAGGACACCACATTTCCCAACCAGAAGGGCATGTGGAAAGCAGAGTTCAGTTTCCAGAGCAGTGGGGCTTGATGTGCTGTACATCGAGACCTGTTGGGAGTGCCTGTCCTGTGCAGGTTTCCAGATCACCCTCAGAGGGGGTTTGGCAGCGCTGGGAAGAGCCTGAAAACCTGCACAGCAAAGTCCCTCCTCCCTAGCCAGGTTATTCCAGTGCAGGTGGTTCTGGGATCCTGCTAGAGTAGGGGTCAGCAAACCTTCTCTACAAAAGACCAAATAATAATAATCTCAGACTGTGGAGGCCATACAGTCCTGCTGGAGGAAAAGCAATCACAGGTGATATGTAAATGAGTGGCTGTGGTTATGGTCCAATAAAACTATAATTACAAAAATAGGTGGCCAGGCAGATTTGGGTCACCAACTGTAGTTGGCCAGCCCCTGCTCTAGAACAATGTGCCTGACTTCTCCTGCCAGTATCCGTCCCCAAAGACAAGTCCACATTAAGTTCAGTCCACTTTGGAGGGTTTTTTGTTATCTATTAGTGTGCCCTATTTCTTTGTTCTTTTTGTTATCTTTCTGGCATTTGTGGGCTGTTTCAACACTTCTTAGCAAATCTAAGGTCATAGTACATTTCAAAACCTCTAGTTCGTTGTCGTTCATAGTGGGACCCTGAAATGCAGCCTCTCACACAGCCTCAGGCCCCTCTTGTTCTCATGGGTCTGACTTCAGTGACAGGACCGAGGCAGCCCAGGCTGTAATGATGGCCCCTATCTATGACTGAAAGGTAACAATCTGAAGAAAAGGTCTTCAGACCAATCGGCTAAAATGACCTGAAAGTGTTAAGCAGTTCAGTACCGTCCAGAGAATGTACACATAGCCTTGTCAATCAAAAGATGCTGCAAATTTGGGGAAAGCTTATTAGGAGCACATCACCTGATCGGATCAACTCTGAGATAAATGTGTTTTAAAATCCTGTAGTGACAGAGAGATGGCAAAAATGAAGAAGACATCGAGACAAAAGAAAAGGAAGTGAAGTTCAGGAAAACCTATATGAAGCTGAGAGGCCGCTTACTTGTGCAGGTTGGGAAACTGAGGTCCAGAGAGGCACAGGGGCTTGTCCAAAGGTCACATGTCCATTTGAAGCAAAGGGAGTGACACCCAGAAAGTGAGGGATTCCCTGCAAAGAGCACCAGGAGGTGACTGCCCAGTCCCAGCCCTTGCAGCGCTCTGGGAGCTGGGCAAGCACATAGTGCCTCTGAACTGTCTTTTGTCCCTTCTGTAACTTGGGGTGACGATAAGGACTGCCTGGTGGTTGTGAGCAGAATGTACTGGTGGCCTAGTGCCAGACCCACGCAGTGCGAAATCAGGGCTCCAGTCTTCTCCTACAAGGTGTTTTTCTCCACAGAAGTCTGGCTGGAATGCTTGTTTTTGTAGCATACCCAAGACGTGGGATCTCATGCTTTCACGGGTGCTTGCTTTGCAGGCGCCGGTGGGCTGGCTCAGTGGGGGTGGAGTGACTTGGTCAAGGTCTCCCTGCTAGAAGTGGGTGGTCCAGTTCAGCCCATGACCGCCACACTGGGCCCCTCTGCTTGGGCCCAGGTTTCCCTCAGCCTGGATTCCTGAGTCTTAGCCCACCACATGCTCATTTTGGGGATTATCCCAACTCCCTGACAGGTGATTTCCTGTTTCCCCAAGGCAGAGGCTCAGGCAGTGGATATGTCCCATGTCACTCTCTACTTTGATGGACCCATATGTCCCAGGTCACTCTCTACTTTGATGGACCCTGCATCTACCCACATTGGCCAAGGGAGCCTGGTCCTGTTAATTGAGGTTGACAAGCTTCCATTTTGCTGTCCATAAATGGGGGGCAGGACTGACAGGTCACCACCCCAGCCCAGAGGGAGCAGTGAGAGATGTTGGCAGCTACTGTACCCGCCTTTCTGTGGTCGTGTTCAACAAGATCGGGTCAAGTTATGAGCACAGACCTTTCCCATCAGACAAACCCAGGTTTGAGGCTCATTCTCTGACTTAGTGCCCAAGTGACCTTGGGCATGCTCATTGTCCCTTCACTGCAGTATCCTCTTTCATAAAGGTTATAATAAATGCAATGACTTTGTACAGTTCTGTGAGCAGTAGTGAGATACTGCCTATAAAATGTGCATCCCAGTGCCTGGTACATAGCACACAGTACATGGAGACTATCATTTGTATTTTTATTCACCATTCATTTTTTCAGTTATTCTGCAAATACTTACAGAGGGGCTGCTATGTGCCAGGCACTGTATCGGCACCTGGGGTACCTTAGTGAATAAATCATACCCAGTCCTTGTCCTCAAGGACCTTAGCTTCTATTGAGGAGACTGACCTGACAAATGAAATAGTGTGTTAAATAAAATAAGTTAAATAGCCCAGTAGGTGGTAAGTGCCATGGGTGAAAGAGAACAAACAGGGTGAGGCAGGGGGTTGGAGAGTGGCAGAGGTGGGTGGTTGGGTGACTTCCTAGAGGAGATGAGATTTCAGCCAACTTGCAGGAGTTGAGGGAGTATACCACGCGAACTCCTGGGAGAACCTTCAGGTCAGACAGCAGCAAGAACAAGGCTGTGTTGTTAATAGTGACAGGTTATTAAATAACAATAAGAGCCCCCAACTCTTTTGATTAGATGCCAGTAAATCAGTCCCCGACCAAGACCTTGGCGACCCAGGGCTCTCCCTTACAATAGCTGAAGGACCCGAACTCCAAGGTCCTTGTGACTGTCATTGTGACACCCTCCCCACCCCCACTGTGGTTGCTCCTTGGGCAGGATCAGGGTCCCTGGAGCTTCTCTGTTAGAGATGCAAAAGTGAGCCCAGAGCCAGGAAGGGACCAGCCCAGGGTCACCTGGCACCATGGCACAGCTGCCCCAGCCTCCTGAGGTCAGGCTAGACTATCAGGGATTCATCGGTACCAGACAAGTCACTTAGCAACCAACACTAAGGCTGGTGACAGTCTTTTTTTTTTTTTTTTAAAGGGTCTTGGCTTGGGAAGACCCTCCCCACAGCAAATCAGACTCTTAAAGGTACATGAGACATATTTTTAAAACTCAAGATGAAGAATCATTTCTTAGTAATATTCATAGGCAAAATTAGACTTTGGGTTCCATGGACCTATCTGTACATCCTTCTAGCAATCATTTGGTTAGTAGTTATCTTTGCTGGTGTGGGTGCTCTTCAGGAGTAAAGATAATTAGAGTTACTCTTGGAATAGGGCCCAACCCTTTTTGAATCATTCCCCATCTATATCACTGATCCCTACAACCACTCTGTTGACACAGACCATAGGACACAGATATGCTGACCCCATACCCAGTGCTCTTGTACCTGCAGCTTTGTCCCAGCTGCCCCAGGGGACTGATCTGGGCCAGAGATTTAGTCCAGGTCATAGAATTCCTCTTATAGCTACTCCATTCCCAAGGGTTAGTCAGAGGCTGCAGGAACACCTGCACTGGGCCACCAGCTCAGGTCATGAAGATGTAAAGCAGGTCCCCTACCCCAAGGTTGGAGGAGGGTGACAGACATGCAGGTGGCGGTGGGGAGGTGCCTCACACTGAAAGGGTGCAGCAGGGCCCAGGTTTGTGGGTAAGTGTGGGGGTCCTGCTCCAGCTTGGCTGTAGGGACCAGCATCAAGACCAGGTGGGCAGTCACCTCCAGGCAGCCGTGTCTGCAGGTCCTGAGCTGGGGTGACTCTCAGAATCATATTCCAATGGTTTCTTATTGGGAAGGAAAGCAGAGTGAACAGTGGCTTCTGGGTAGTCATGACTCCCAGTCCTCTGCTTTGGAATTGTGTAGCCTGGTCGTATAGTTAGTTTTTAGGAGGAAAAAGCTTCCTTTTAAAATTGTCATAGAAATTCAGATTTTTCCAAGACTGTACTTTCTATATCTAAGAAAGGACACCCCAAAGTTTGGATTGTGTTAAAATGATTGCTTTGTGAGCGTGGAATAGGAAATGGTCTGCTCGCTGTTCTTTCCTGTTCTATTGGCCAAGTCACCACCCCAGATCTGTCTCTGAAATGTTTTCTAACATTCTTTAAGAATAACCCTTTTAGAAGTACTGCTGGGTTCACCTGTTACATATGTCTCTGGTCAGATTGCTTTTGAAAATACATCATTTTAAAAGCTAGATTGTGTAGTTACACCCTTGTAACTTCCCTGCTGTATTAAGCTTTTGTGTGGTTAACTTTTAAAATCTTTGTTTACCCAGATGAGGAGAAAAGGCGACCTGATATTTTCCATGCATTGAAAATGGGTAAGCAACTACTTTAGAAAATCTATTTGGATATGTAAGAATACAATGCCACATTCTCCCAACCTAATATTTGCAGTCCTTTTCAAGATCACCCAGAGTATTTAAGAAAGAAACAAACATTTAGTTGTTTCCTGAATCTGTAGTTTCACCCGGAGGGTTCAGAACCTGGAGGCTGGTGGTCATTATGGTGTTTTACACAAACTGTCTGCTCACCCAGGTTCCTCTACCTTTCCAGCTACCCCTGTGGCTGTGTCCTGGCTCTTCCCTGCCCTTTGAAATGCCTGATTGTTCCACTACCCACTTCAGGCTCTGTGATGGAGAACTATTGAGCCTAACACTTCCTCTCCTGATAGAGATGCTGCCTCCAGGAAGCCCTCCAGGAAGGTGCTCAACCCATAGAGACCTGTGCTCTACTGCATCTGCATTGCCCTTCATCTCTCTCCATCTGTTTTCTTAAGACATCAACAGCCTTTCTCTCTTGTAGTAAGGCTATCTGTGTGCTCCACTCTTATCTCTCATAGACAGAGGGAGGTGAGAATGAGGGATATCTCATCTCATCTCTGTCACCCCAGCAGCCCAGTGCAGAGGCAGGCTCACAGTGTCTGTTACATGAACCTTATGGATGAAGCATTGCTCCTGTGATGCTAGCCCCCAAAACCACCAGGACTCCTACTTCTGTTTGCAGGAAACTTCCAGCTAGTCAAAGAAATTGCTGATGAAGATCCCAACCATGTGAACCTGGTCAACGGGGATGGAGCCACTCCACTGATGCTAGCAGCAGTCATGGGGCAGCTGCCCCTTGTGCAGCTACTAGTGGAGAGGCATGCTGATATTGACAAGCAGGACAGCGTGCACGGCTGGACGGCCCTCATGCAGGCCACCTACCATGGGTCAGTGCTCCACCCTCTCAGCCGCGGGCTAAGGACTGAGATAAGGGTTCTGATGGGACTTTCTAGTCCTGAGATGCTACAGATAACCCCCTGAGCTGTGAGGAGGTGGAGGGATGGGAGGAGACCATGCAGGCTCATTCTCTCCTGCATTGCCACCCCTGTGTCCAGATTTCCTGTTACCTTGGCACAGAATTTGCCAGTGGCTGAAAAACCATGGAGCAGGAACATTTTATGCAGAAAGATAAGTTTCTATAGGTTGATTTGCACTGAACAGAGTGATTGGTTCATTTGGAGTTTTTGCAGTGATGTGCATGGCATCCTTTCGTTGCCCCGACTGAAAACAAACATCAGTCATTAATGCTATGGCTTCTTGGGGACATCCCATGGTGAGGTTTCACCTCACCCTCTCCTTTTGACTAGGCTCGGTGTTGTTACCTGTGCCCCCTGGAGGCCACCTCCAGGGGCCTCCTGAGTCTCAGGCTGCGTGCTGTCACAGCTGCTGCATGGTCTGATTCCAAATTAGGGCCGCTTCCCTTGCCCTGTTGCAAGTGATCATAGCATTTCCTGCCTGATCTCAAAGCAGTTTTTTTTGTGTTTTTGTTTTTTTTTTTTTTTTTTTTAGATTTATTTATTTATTTATTTAAGCACTGGGTACAATCAGAAGCGCGGGAGGGTGAGAATTTGCCAGAGCCAGAGCAGGGAGCAGAGCAGGCAGAAGGACTAACGTACACTGCTGAGGGGAGCAGCGGGTGGCAGGAGAGGTCTGCGCGCCATGCGGGACCCCCTCCAGTGGCCGGGGAGCAGCCGGGGATCGAACTGGTGCTGCAGAGGCTGTGGGCAGCTTCACAACCCAGCACTCAACTGCTGCGCCACCAGGGAGGCCCTCAAAGCAGTTTTTTATATGGCCTGTGTGCACTTCTTTGATGCAGGGTCCTGAATTTTGGGGTTGGCGAGTCTAATGCTGGCTTTTTCTTTCCTCCTCAGGAATAAAGAAATTGTCACATATCTGCTAAACCAAGGGGCTGATGTCACTCTTCGTGCAAAAAACGGGTACACGGCCTTTGACCTAGTGATGCTGCTGAGTGATCCCGGTGGGTTGTTTCAGGAGAAGGGTTGTGGTCCTGCCTGGTCTTTCCCTGGCTGAGAAGTGAGGTCACCTGTGTTTTAAGCACTTGCTTGTTCCTGGGGAAGCCACTCTCAAGCTCCCCACCACCCCCAGCTTACAACATGGCCTTAGGACAGGACCTGGCAGTACCTGAGGCTTCTCCCAGCAGCAGCTTCCAAGGAGCTGAGGCCAGCCAGCCCTGTGTGCACCTTGGCAGTCCACACAGATCCTGCAGTGGCATCTGCTTCATAGCCAGAAACCGAGTGACTAGGGAGGAAACTTGGATAAGCAGAAGCAGGGAAGGAACAGTGATCCCTTCCACTCAGTTATTGGAGCCTGCTGGGTCGTGGTGTGGTGCAGGGGGAGTCACCAACATCAGTCCCTCCCTCTTGGTCTTTGATTGGCATCTGCTGTTCCCCTCTGACCCTCCTCCACTGTGACAGCCCCTCTCTAGGACCAGAGGCTGCCCATTAGCCAGCTCAAGGGGCAGGGTCTCCCTCTTCTGCCATCTCTTATTACTCTGGAGTTTCAGCTAAAAGAGGGAGAAACTGGGAGACCCCTGACGCACAAGGCTTTCAGCCCTTTCTGGTGAGAGGCTTCTGGTTTTTTTTTCTGGCTAAGTGAGTTAAACCCTGCTGGCTTCTGTTTGCCATCTTTTGGAGGTCAGACGGAGAGGCTGACCTGTAGATCCTGAGAAGCAGACCGTGAAGCTTTCAGGACTGAGTTCTAAGGCTGGCGGGGTCACCTTGAGTGCCCTCCCCATTGTTCAGCAGACATATTTGCAGGTAAAATGCTGCTTTTTGTGTCCATAGACACGGAACTTGTTCGACTGCTGGCATCTGTCTGCATGCAGGTGAATAAGGACAAAGGCCGGCCCAGCCACCCACCGCCCCCACCCCATTCGAAGGTCCGACAGCCCTGGAGTGTCCCAGTTCTGCCCAGCGACAAAGGCGGGCTTAAGGTTTGCCTTCTCCTGTGTTAAGGGGCTTTCAAGTGCCAAGTTGTTGGGGAGAAGCTGCCTGCCGCCTTCTTATACTCACACTGGGGTGGGCTGGACTGAGAGGGTCTAGCAGAGGAGGGAAGTCAGCTGTGGCTGAGCAGTAGGGAGTGGTGGAGAAAACTGGGGTGATTGTGACCACTTAGTGGCAGCGGGCTACTCTCTAAGAATATGCGGCCCAGTTGCCAAATCTTCCCACAATTTATAAATGTAGCAATTTTTTTTGAAGATTTATTTATTTATGCATACAAGAACTGGGGTATAGGCCAGAGGTATGGGGGGTGAGAGGATTCACCAGAGACAGAGTGGGGAACAGAACGGGCAGATTGACCAAAGTACACTGCTGAGGGGAGCAGCGGGCGAGTCAGGAGAGGTCTGCTGCACCATGTGGGTAGCTCCCTGGCCGGGGATTGAACTTGTGCTGCAGAAGCTGCAGTTAGCTTCATAGGTTGCATCTTAACCCTTTGCGCCACCAGGGAGGCCCAATGTAGGAAATTTTTAAAAATCTTGTGCATGATGTGGAACTGAGTGGGCCAAACCAAGGTCCCCTCCTTGCCGGGCATCTGTCTGCAGCTTCTGCTTCAGTGTGTGGGGTATCTGCTAACTGCCATTCTGGGGTCTCCCTGTGTCTTCTGCCCCCCTCAGCTCCTTCCTGGAAACACTTCAAGCAAACTCCAGCTGCTTATTTCTAACTACAAGCTGACTGTGCCTCTGGATTTCTCATCCTTCCCATCCTGTTCTACTTGTTTGACATCAAACTTATTTATTTAGTCCTTGTTCTGCGGGGGTTCCAGCACCTTCTCAGCTCAGCAGACTTGGTATTCCTTTGTGTTTGTTGCTCTCTCCAGCCCCGGGTTCTTCCTCATTGTGCTGTTCGCATGGATCTCTTCATGCCTGTTCTCACTGCCTTCTCTGTAGGCCAGGCCCCTCCTCCCTGTGGGCTGCGTCAGGAACCTAAGCTGTCAGGGGTTATAAGGACACCCAGAGGGTGGTGCCTGTCCTCTGCTGAGATGGGGAGGCATCAGCTATGGCACAGATTGCCCAGGCCTAGGGCTCCTCATGTTATCACTGGAAGGAGCTGATACAGTGATAGATGTTGAGGTATTTGGCATTGCCTCTGTGTCCATCTGTCTATCCCAGACTCATGGTAAGATCTAGAGCGGGTTGGTGGGCCTGTCTGAGCTTCCATTTCTCAATCTGTGAGCTAGGAGGTTGTTAATAGGAAGGGTGGCAGACTAGGCTTCTGGCCACCTCCAGTCTATTGGAAATATCCTCCTAAGGGCCAAGGACCCAGAGGGACGCATGGCTTGTTGGGAAGGGATGCTGGGGTGCTGTGGGGATTGAGAGGGGGTGGGAGGCACATGTGAAGTGGGTCCCCTTTCCCTGGGCTGGCTGTTCCAGGGCATGACCTCTGCCCTGTGCTCCCTTGGCAGTCTTGGTGGAACCGAATGTCCAATCGGTTCCGGAAGCTCAAGCTGATGCAGACACTGCCCCGTGGGCTGTCCGGCAACCAGCCAATGCCTTTCTGTAACGAGCCCGAGCCAGCGCTGGACTCCACCATGAGGGCACCCCCCCTGGACAAGACTGGTCGCTCTGGGCTCCCTGATGTGCCTCCCACAACCAAAGACAATGGTAAGAAAAAACTGCACATGTGATAGAATTTCCAGAATGGACAAACCTGCATCCTCTGCGCTTTGTCCTACCTCCTGGGCTGATGTCAGAGATGAGATACTGGTCTGCAGGGACACCACTTCTTCAGTGGAGTGGAGTGGGAAGCTGGTGGTGAGAGTGCCGGTCCCTGTCCCTACACACCCTGCTGAAGGACCACAGACCAGTCACAGCTTCTCACCTTTCATAGGTAGTCTTCCTAGCTATGAGGTATGGTATGTCTCTGGCCCTGAAAGAACTTTGAAATAGAATAAATCGAGGGCAGGGTGGGGAGGGTAGATGGGTAATGAGCTCCTCAGCACTGGAAATATTAAACGGATTGGGTGACTTTGCCAGGGCATGAAGATTGCCACATTGACTGGGTCTCTGGATCTGATCCATTCTAAAAATCAGACTCCCCACACCCCAACCAGCTTCTTTGGCACCACTGTTTGAGACAGACTATTGACTGGGTGTACCACTGTCTGACCCTCCACGGCAGTGGTTTATGGAAAAGCTGAAAACACGCCTTGAGATACTTTCTAAATGCTTTCCTTCTTTCAAATATTGAATACCGATTATTATTAAATATTTAATCACCCAGGAGAGTTGGTTTTCCAGGATGAAGGCCAACCTGGTCACTCATCCTCATGATCTCAGCCTGTCAGGGGCGGGGGTGGGGGAGTGGGGTCATTTCAGGAAACTTCCATTTGTCTCTCAGGTCCTGGGAGCACCAGAGGAGAAAAGGAAGATGTGTTACTGACAACCATGGTGAGTGTGGGGCTTCTAAAAGCACTTCAGGTTTCTACCAATCGTTTGTTGTCACAAGGAGGGATGTGGACTTTTTATCTTCCTTTGGGGATATCACACATGGGCTTGATATCAAAATGTATGTATCAGTAGGTAAAGCTCTGACATCAAGGAATCAGAACTGATGTCAGCCCTCTAAACCATGGTTGAGGCTATGCTGATGCATAGTGGCCCAGTGTAAGCCCTGATCCCGTCTCAGGGAGGTGGCATTGCAGATGGGCCTTGAAGGAGCAGGGATTGACGGGACACTTTGTACTCACCATCCACTATGGAGAACAGAGGAAAAAGGGGTCATGGCGAGACCTCAGTTTCCTCATCTATAAACTAGAGGATTAGGTTCAGCGAATCCCCAAGTAACAGTGATGTAAATAAGACAACAGGTTATTTTTGTTCAAGTAAAGTTTGGAACTGGCACATTGTTCCATGGAGTTAGGAGTTTACATTCATTCTAGCTGTTCTAGAACCATTGGTATGGTTACCTAACCAATAAACAGCTGTTCTAGATATTCTATTCCCAAGATCACCTTTTGGTCCAAGAAGGCTGCCAGAGCTCTGGCCATTACTACCTCATTCCAGCTAGCAGGAAACATGAGGGGAGAATTGGTGGCTGTAGGTACATATCAGGTGTCTTTAAAGAAGGTCTCGAGAAATTGCCACATATCATATGTACATCAAATACATATTTACATATTTACATCAGCCAAACTTTCAGCACATGGCCACACTGCACAGAAGCCTGGGGAAGGATATTCAGGTGGGTTATGTGTCCATCTGAATGACAGGAGTATCTACTAAGGAAGTATCTACTAAGAAAAAGGGATACTGGAGGACAGTAGTCTCTGATTTAGGGGGTGCTATCCATCATTCTTAGGCTTTTTATTAATTTTTTTAAAGGTTTATTTGTACAAGCACTGTGGTATAAGCTAGAGGCACAGGAGGGTGAGAGAATTCACCAGAGCCAGAGCAGGGAGCAGAACAGGCAGAAGGACCAAAATACACTGCTGAGGGGAGCAGCGGGTGAGGCAGGAAAGATTTGCTGCGCAATGTGGGAATCTCCCTGGCCAGCTGGGAATCAAAATGGCACTGCAGAGGCTGCGGACAGCTTCACAGCACTGTGCTCAACCCTCTGTGCCACCGAGGAGGCCCCATTCTTATGCTTTTTAAATTAGATAATTCCCAGGAAATTCTTAGCATAAGCCCAGAATGAGCCCTCATTTGTCTGCTGTGTGACCTTGGACATGTTTCCTCACCTCGCTGAGCTTCATGATCTGTGAAACCAAAGCCTCCTGCTCAGTGTTGGACTAAGTCCCATAGCTCTGAGACCCTAATCTAAGGCTGGCCAGGAGAGGGCAGTATTGGTGAAGAGAAGGGAGCCAAGGTGCCCACAGAAGGTCTGAGTTGCCTCAGGGCTGGCCCCGCCCCAGAGTGTCCTGACAAGTGATGTGCCTCCCTCCCCACCACCCACTGTGCAATAGATGTAAATTAGTGTCTCTCACATTGACTGTGGGAACTTGTACTGCCCAACATTTGATAATAGTATTAAATAGCAAAATTCAGTATGAAGACAGAAATGCTATCACTGAAATTTTTGGAGGATGCAGTAAAATACAAAGAAAAATAAAATCACCCTTGATCACATGCCCAGATAAAGCCATGACTGATGCTTTGTGGTCTACACAAAGTTCACCTAACCATTGGTGTGGTTACCTGACCACACCAGGCAGTGGTATTTGCCTAACCATTTTTTAGCATCTGAGTATGATGACCACATTATAGACAATAATTACTAAACATGGCCTTTACCAAGTACCAGCTGCTACACAGCCCTTCACACATATTCCCTCACTGAATCTCGCCGATGAGCAAGTCAGGTAAAGCACTGCCAGCTTCCCTGTGCTGTGCTGAACCTGACTCGCTAACAATTTGCCAGGACCACCTTTTCCATGTCCCTAAACTCGACCCAGCATTCCACATGTGGGTGCCGTCCTCCAAGACTGGCCCGTTGTCCTTGAGGGAGCCTCACTTTGCATTGTGCTAACAGTCCTGAGGAATCTCCTTATGCCTCAGTTCCCCACACTTGCCTGATTACTTCCTTGGGGATACTTCCATTCCTCAGAAACAGAATTCCTGAGCCAAAGAATGTGAATGTTATTGCCTTCTAGAAAGTTTGCAACAGTTGATTCTCACCCCAAAGAGTGAAAATGCGCATTTGTGGGGGGTTTGCAACTGTGAATGTCATTTCCAGTCAGCACCCCCTCCCCCTCTTGCCAGATGCGGTTACTGAGGTCCTCGAGGTCAGTCCTTGATCACACTCTCAGTAAAGCCCAGAAGAGCCAGGGTGGGATCCCAGGAGGCCCCCTCTTCCTTGGCGCTCACCCTGTCTCACCTCCATGTGCCCTGCAGAGGGCGCCGGTGTGCCCGCCTGCCCGGCAGATGGAGGCTGGCCAGGGTGCCCTGCTGAGTGGGCGTTTGCAGCCATCCTTGTGGAGCTGCCGCCTGCTCGGCTCCTGAGGCAGGTTTAGCTGTAGGACGCCCTTCCCTGCAAAGCACCATCTGGTATCAAGTTCACTGTCTTTCCTTAATTAAAGTTAGTCTGGACTGTGTGAGGGCTGTTCCTTGACGATCTACCAGTCATCATGGTGTGGATTTGATACTGGCCCCAAATCACATTTTCAAAATTTGAGTTTAAATTACCGTTTAAAATGTCATCAGTGGGAGGTGTGGCTGGAGTAAGGAGGATATGGTTGGATTAAAAGGCAGTTTGCTGGGCTCATCAGCCTCAAAGCCAGCCTGTGTCTTCCAGCCTCCCACCTCCCAGCCACTCCCTCTCCTCCTGGAGCCCCCCCTCTGCTCTGGTCACACCATTCTCCTTGCAGTTCTGCAAACTTGTCCCGCTCCTCTCATTTCCAGGCCTTTCTACATTCTTTTCTTCAGGCTGCAGTGCCCCTTCTCCATCCTCACTGCACCCACTTGCCTTGGCTTTTGGGCTCAGCTGAAGTGCCCGCCCCACTCCAGTGTACCGCCTCAGAGCATACCCCGCACCTCTTGACTTCACCTCAGCTCTCCATCCACTCTGTCCCTATTCTAACCTTGCTGCTGGGGTTCAGTCCTACGGAGGCCAGGCGTCGCTCCTTGTAGGGAGGCCAGCTGAGGACAGCATGAGGGTTTCCGGCTTAGGTGGAGGGGTCAATGGTAGTGCCATTCTCTGCAAGGCAAGACAATCCTGAAGTTTCTCCTAGAGCTAGGAGCCCTCCTGGGTCTTGTCTAACCCACTGCTTGTCTTTTCCAGCTTCGAAATGGAGCCCCCTTCACCAGACTCCCGAGTGACAAGCTGAAGGCAGTGATCCCCCCTTTCTTACCCCCTTCCAGTTTTGAGCTGTGGAGCTCTGATGGGTCCCGGACTTGTCACAGTGGGAAGGCAGACCCCATGAAGACTATGCTGCCCCAGAGAGCCAGCAGGGGCCACCCCGCGGGCTGCGGGGGCACGGACACAGTAAGTGGGCCCCACCGATTCGCTTTGATGCATCACTCGCTGAAATCATGAAGTGTTACAGGTGAAGGCAGCCTCAGACCTGCTAATCCAGGAGGCTTGAAACTTTTGTTTTCTTTTAAATGAATGATATCCTTTTGTCTAGTGAAATCCTACAAAGGAACTTAATACGTAAACAGATATTCCCGCAAAGGGAATGAAAGCAAGAGCCGCTGTTCTCGGTTCTTCTCTGGAACCCCGAAGCTCCAAGGAACACATGTGAAGACCTGATCTAATCTAACCTTCCCTTTAGATTAAAGACACTGGCACCCAGAGAAGAGAAATAATTTGCTGAACATCACTCTCTGGGTGAGGTAGATAGGGGACCATACATCATTCTTGGCTTCTAATCAAGTTCCTTATTACAATATTGCTCAGGGTTGTGTTCTCCTGGTGTGTTCTTGCACCCAAAAGGAGTGAAACTTCTATCTTTTTGACCAGAGTGTTTTCTGACTTTGTGGACTTGGTCTATGTCTATAATGTACGGACACTGTTCCTCCCACCCCTCGACCTTGTAGGAGATTATCTCCATGTGCAGAGACTGTCTCTAAACAGGCAAATTGAAGATGGGAATTTGCTTTCTGACCCTGCCACCATGTGCTGAGTGACTGGAAAAACTCAGGGCCTCTGTCTCTGTAAGCGGGCTACCCCAGTGTTCGCCCCTGCCGCAGTATTGCAAACCTTAGGGAAGACCAAGAAGCTGCCCCTGGAGATGGCCAACAGGCAGGGTGACCTAGGGGATTTGGGTGACCTAGGGGAAGCCATGCATGGGCTCACCCTAAGCTAACAGGGCTGCTTCCTTGCAGAGAGAGGTGAGTTCCCATCCCTCTGGGGACCTGGAGGGATGCCTGGCACATTCTTGCTGATCTGATGCAAGCACCAGCCGGGAGTGGGCCAGCTGAATTCCTGGCCGCTGCCCATTGCGACTGTGTCCAGAGAAAATAACAGACCCTAACCTCGATACTCACCTTATTCTTACAGACTCCTGTCAGGCCGGTAAAATTTCCATCTCTCTCCAGAAGCCCAGCCTCTCCAGCCAACTCTGGAAACTTCAACCACTCCCCTCATTCCTCGGGAGGCTCCAGTGGGGTAGGGGGCAGGCATGTCGGGGAGCTGCATAACCGCTCAGGTGGGTCACTATGCAGGGCCCGGGCCTGCAAGGGAGGTGGGGTGATCCCTTGGAACTGAGTGTCTGAACTGCCCCCTGTACTTTTTCTGGGGACAGCCCAGAAATGCATGCTGTGCACAAGGGCTTTGTCCTGGATGTGATTTTTCAGTGTGCTCACAATTCAGGGTTTATTTTATGCATTTTCTTGGGGAATGAAGGAGGAAATAAATTCTCTAGTGCTTTGTCATGGAAAATTATGTAAGAAATTAACTTGATATTTTCATGGTATTTAAAGTATTTGAAAGTGAGCCTTAGAGGAGCTTCTCATCCCTCACCTTCACTGAACAGATAAACCGACACACTGCAAGGGGGTGACAATCAGGACTCTAGCAGGAGTGCCCCAAGTTATATAGGGCTCACAGCACACTTACTAATCCTCCCTGAGAGCACTCAGAATTTATGAAAGTCAACTTTGCAGGAAGAGCCCCCACTTCATGCCATTCCAGAAGGAATGCATGCTTCTTGTGGAAAAGCTCTAAGACCAAAAAAGGCAAAAGACTACCCAAAAAAAAAAAAAAAAAAAAAGGAAAGAAAGAAAAGATACAGTCTTACCCATTAGAGATCATCATTGACATTTTGGTGTATATCTTTGTGCAGAGTATTTTTATGTTTATCACATTTATGAAAGCTGAGTAGTAATTTCTTGAGCACTTAGTGTGTGTCAGGCATAGAGCAGAGCCCTATAAGTGGATTCTCTGTATCATCCCCCAACAACCCAGATGGGTGTCACATCCATATAACCTCCCAGGGCCACACAGCCTTGACGCAGCAGAACCAGGACCTGGAGCCAGGCAGGCTGACTTCCGGGTATCAGCTGCTCCATAACCCTTTGCACACATTACCTTGTGAACACCTTTTATATCAACACACATACCTCTACAACATCTTTCATTTAATTTAATTTTTTTATGGTATGCCTCAGATGTTTCTAACGAATGACCATTATATCTCTGCAGTTCTGAAATGGCCAACAGACCATATAAAGACATTTCTTTAGACTCCTGCTTAAAACCAAAAGCTTCTGTAAACTCTTGGCCTTGACTAAAGACCAATGCGGCATCTTTTTAGTAGCCAAACAGTATTCCATTCACCTGAGGTATCCCAGTTTCCTCTTGTTAAACCTGAGGCTGTGCTGTTGGCGCGTGTTTGCTTTCATGGTTATCCCAGCTGAGTCACGCCTTCACACCTCTGTACTCGGACCTTTGCTAAGTCATTTCCTTAACATGAGTTCCCTTGAATCAGGTGGGTTGGGGCAATGGGTTTGCCTGTTTTTAAAAATATCCCTTCAGAATAGCTCTGTTACACAGGTAAAACATTTACAGCCATACCTGGCACCTGACAGATGTTCTACAGATGTGATTTTTTCCCCCCATGTTCTCCCTCTAGCTCCCTCCCTCTCCCTGGGTATCTTTTCCCCTTCTTTCGTCATATTTCAAGTTGGCTGGTAGATTTGGCAAAACAGGGAGCTTGGCAAACGGGATTTAGTTGGTTCTGTGGAATGAAAAAGTTACTGATACAATTAAGAGAATAGCTGGAGATGTAAAGGCCTGAAAGGGGGTGAGGATTGAGGCTTAGATGGGTATGTGCAGCTGCTGGGAGGTGCTGCAGAGGGCTTGCCCTGCGAATCCAGCTCCAGCCAGCTCCAGCTCCAGCTGACTCCAGCTCACCGTGCTACAGGGAAAGCAAGGACAAACTGCATCTCTCCCCTACAACCCCCAATCTTGACTCCTTGGGTTGTGATCGCCCTGCCTCCTGGTCACCTTTCAGTTCTCAGGCAGAGCCCTTTGTGGTCAGCTCTGACTCAAGCCACTCGGGGGGGCACGTGTGGGAAATGCAGTTTCTGCTCAGCTGGGTCAGCACATGGTGGCAGCTTCTGTGCTTGGCCCACGGCTCTCACGCCTGCCCTCTCTCCTCAGGTGGCAGCATAGACAGTGTCCTGTCCCAAATCGCCGCCCAGAGAAAAAAGGCAGCTGGATTATCTGAGCAGAAGCCCAGCCATCAGTCAAGTCCTGTTGGACCAGCACCAGGGTCCAGCCCATCTGAGCTCCCGGTCTCCCCTGCGGGCAGCGGAGGTCCCAGCAGCAAGGTGCTTGTTCTGTTCCTGTCTCTTGTTACGCGTATGGGTTCTGTTGTAACCTGACCCACATGCTGGGGAGCTCTGTTACCACCACTGTGGTCGGACAGGGCAGTCCTTGCAGCTGGCTGCTGGGCTTTCTGAGAGGTCTGGATTATGTGCACAGTGACCAGACTACCCCCTGGCCCCTAGGCCCCCTACATGTGTGTGCCACCTTCCACCTGATATAGGGCATCTCCAGCGGGAGTGGTGCTGAGGGCATGCTGCAGGGGGCAGGCCAGTGGTTATCCGGCCTCACCATGTTTACTGATTAGAGCAGAAAGTTTAGGGAGCAGACTGCCTGGGTTCAAGTCTCAGACCTGCGATTCAGTCTGTAGATTAGGGCCTGGCACCTGGTAGGCCTGTGTAGGTGTCAGCTGTTGCTATTACATGTATTAGAGAAGTATTCTTACTCCTATCTCATTCATTCACTATATCCATCTTTGCAGTGTCTGCTCTCTCTGGCACTGCTAGCAGTAGGATCCAGCAGTGAACTAGGGGCTTGGTGATCACCCTCAGGGTATCATTATGGACACAAGCAGCCTCATCTCAACCCTCAGGTAGGGGCTGCCATAGATGAGGGAGGACACTGTGGGGGCATAATAGGGGGCACTAGCCAGGCTTGTGGGATCCCTATCTAAATGGGGATCCTAAGGATGAGCCAGATGAGGCAGGTAGGTGTGGACTATTTCAGGATGAGGGGCAGCATGTGCTGTGCTGCAGGAGTGAAAGTGTGGCATAGGGAAGGAGCTGACAGAAGGTCCTGGTGGTCAAGACAGAGCCTTGCTCTGCCTCACCTCCCTCCTCTGGCACCTTTCCTCCCTTAGTACAGTTCAGAGCAGTTGATACATTGTTAGCTTTTATGGAGTTTGCAAAAGAGAAGAAATGCCTCTCTGGAATGTAAAGTTTTATATTGTCTTCAGAATCTACTCCCACCCACCCTTGAGTCCCTTTGCCTGGGTGTAATGGAGTCAACACCCAGGGTGTGGATTCTTAGTCATGAAGGTGAACTGATTCCTCCACCAGGTAGTCCTCCAGGTGTTCTCCAGTGGGTGTGGCCCATTTCCCTCCTCTGCAAGAACCCCAGGTCCGTACAACACCCCACTCTTCATCACATCTTCTAGATGACTTCAACTGTCTCCCTAAGAAAAGCTAGATCACGTGAAAGCCTCACCCCTGAGCCATTACCCAGAAGTGCATCTAGAGACTGATGTTTTAATGGATGTTTGAGAAGCTATTTTCTGTCCAATGTCTCTTGGTTATGCAATTTTTCTTGTTATTCAAACTTCCCTATGCAATTGGACCTACATAAGTTTCTTTCACAAAGCAGCTCCAGAAAGTGTTCTCTCTCCCTATTAACATATTCTCCATTATGTTCAAAATTACTTTGTAATAGTATCTATATAATTAAGTTCCTTTTAGAAGTCAATTCTAGAAAAGTCTCTACTGAAACTTTGATACATTTTTTTCATTGGCTAATAAGAATTACATGTTCATTTTACTCTCTTTTTGCCTTTGCTGCTAAGACACGCAGAACTACCCATTTAGTAAGCATGCTAGTCTGACTGTTCATTTGTTTTTCCTCTTCTCTGTTGCCTGAAGTTTTATTTCAATTTTGAGTCCATTAGATGTGTTAGGTACTATTTCCTTTAATTGGTATTGGAAAGTAGATGGGCATCTAAATTATAAATTACACTATGATCTTACTTGGACACATCTGTCATATATAATCTGTATGAGGTATAGTCTGATGAAAGGAAATTGTGTCAGTAGATGGCACTCAGGAAACAATAATTTGGGGAAGGTATCCAGTTCAGTGATCATCTGATCAACTTAACATAACAATGTGCTGTAACCTTGGGGGAACTGTTTAAACACTCAGGTTTCTGAGCTCCATCAGGCTTTTCTGAATGGGACTCTCTGATAAGGTCTAGCGTCTTCCTCCCTCCCTGGGCTGAAGTATTGCAGTCAGCCCAGTCCAGGACTAAGAAACTGCTGCTCTAAACCAAAGGACCTAGGAGTGGGCTTTCTGTCAAAGGCTCCAGCAGCAAAAATGGAGACTTGAAATAGTTTCCAATGCTTCCTTAGGAAGAAGTAGAAATTAGTATTCAACATACAAGCCTCCTGAATCTGGTTTTATGTACTTTGTTTAAAATAAGCACCACTGTAATAGTGGGATATTCACAAGGCTGGCTACTAGCATGTTTGTGAATCAGCTTGAAGTGAGTCTTAGGAGACGTGAAATGTGGCGACTCAGACTATGCATCAATGCTTCTCAGATCTCTGGATGCTCAGAGGCCCACTGGGTATATCAGCTTTCTATTCTTACTCTAAAACTCAGTGGTTTAAAATGAAAAACATTTCTTTAGCTTGTGGATCTGTGGGTTGGCAGTTTAGTCTGGACTTGGATAGGCAATTCTTTCCATCTAGGGGAATCATTTACATGTCTGACTGTCAGCAAGAGGGACCAGAATAACTGGGCCCATGAGTGTCCATGGCAAGCTTGGACATGTTCTCATGGCAACGGCTCAAGGCATGATTTGAAAACCAATCAAGTTGTATAAGCAAGTCAGCATACCCACTGCAGAACATACAGAGTTAATAGCAAAGAGCGTGGAGCAGGGTGGGTGGAGAGATGCCACTGATGGAGTAAGTCTGCCACACGGGGGCATAAGGAATAGTTCACATTTTCAGAGCATCTCAAATAATCTTGTATATACCTGCCCCTCCCCCAGTAATGCTGCCTACAAGGTCCAGAGTATTTCTTTGCTTTTGCCTGGGGTATATCTGTTTGGTAGGGAACTACTAATTATCTCTTGCTTATCAGAGCTTTATTACAGAATGTCTTTCTAGAAAAAGCAGAGAGAAGAATTTATTAGTGATGTAGGTAGCTCATTGAAAATTTCTTTCAAAAACATAGAGAGGTATTTCTTTTTCCACTCTTGGATGTAGCTAGCGAGGAGAAACATTAATGACAAGGCAAGGTGGACCCATTTCCACCATATAAGCTATTTATCTTAGTTTAGTATCCTACCTGAGATGTTATATTTTCAGCAAAAAATGATAAGGTATATAAAAAGTCAGGAAACATCACAATTTCAAGAAACAAAGTAGAAATCAAAATCTGAACTTAGATATGACACAGGTGTTGTCATTAGTTGAGAGCAAATTTAAGAGAACTGCAATTAGCATGTTAAAAGCTCTATTGGAATAAGGGGGATGCAATTGTATGGGGAAAAAAAATCTTTAAAAAAAGCTTTAATGGAAAATGTGAATAACATGGATAATGATGAATGACTATTTCAGCAGACAGACAGAAACTTTTAGAATCAAATGAAAGCGATAGAAATAAAAACAGAGTAACAGGTGAGGAGTAGCTTTGATGAGCCCCTCAGTAGACTTGACACAGCCAAGGAAAGAATCAGTGAATTGAAAGGTAGGGCAAATAGAAATTACCCAAACTGAAACACAAAGACATTAAGGCCAAAACAAAACAAAGGGTACTCAGAAGTTGTTGAATAATATCAAATGCTCTCACATACAGGTAATAGGAATCCTTGAAAGAAACAAAAAAAAAGAGAGGATGGTGGGGTGGAATAAAATGGCTAGGAATTTCCTTAAATTAATAACAAATGTGAAACCAAAGATCTAGGAAATTCAGGGAAAACTAAATAGGACAAATAACAAAAAGAACACACCTACCTATATTTAAACTGCTGGAAACAAGACAAAGATAAACTCTTGAAGCAAGCCAGAGAAAAGAGGAATTACAGAGGAACAGAAATATGAATTATAGCAGACTTCAGGAAATAAACCATACAAATCAAGAAACAGTGAGGTGACCTTCAAAGTGCTGAAAAGAAAAAACAGACATGTTGTCTCATGAAATTAGTTGGGAAGTATCTTTCATTTTTCTGAAAGATATTGTAGAATTGATATTACTTTTTTCTTAAGTGTTTGATAAAATCTGTCAGTGAAGCCATGTAGATCTGATTATTTTCTCCTTTTTTGAAGGATTTCAGTTGCTACATAACTTTTTAAATATGTCTAGGATTTTTTTGGGGTTATATATCTTCTCAAGTGACTTGAATTTTGTATTTTCTTAAGGAATTACTTTTTCACCTAAATCATTGACTTTATGAACATAGTATTTCTTAATTATTTTAATGTCAAATCCGTGGGAGTGTCTTCTTTTTTCATTACTGACATTATTAATTTGTGACTTCTCTTTCTCCTTGTTTTCTGACTTGGCCAGTATGGATAGAAGTTTATAAACTTTAGTTTTCAAAGAACCAACTTTGGTTTCATTGATTTTTACCGCCATTTTTTCTATTTTCAATTTAATTCATTTCTGCTCTTCTCTATAATTTCCTTATCTATAAATTCCTGCTACTTACTTGCTTAGGTTTTGTCTTCTTTTCTTAGTATCTTATGTGGAAGCTTAAATTACTGTTTATAGATCCTTTTTTCTAAACAGCAGGTCTTTCTTTTCTAATACAGCAATTTTAATGTTACAATTTTACTTCAATGTTCCGCTTTACATGCATTCCTCAATTTTTGGTATAATTTTTAATTTAAATTCAATTTTAAATATTTTTTCACTTCTCTTGAGACTACCTCTTTGGCTCATGCATTATTTAGAAGTTTATCTTTTATTTTTCCATCATTTGGGGGCCTTTCAGAAATCTTTCTGTTGACTTCTAGTTTAGTGCTGCTATAGTTCTATTTCTATTCCTTTAAATGTGTTGAGGTCTGTCTTATGCATTAGAATATAATCAACCTTGGGGGAATCTCTCATGCTCACTTGAAAAGAAAGTGTATTTTGTCGTGGTGGTGGAAGGTGCAAGTTCTATAAATGTCAATTAGATCTGCTTGGTTTATATCTGTTTGGTTATTAAAGTCTTCTGTACTCTTAATCCTCTGTACTCTCTCGTCTGTCTACTTGCTCTCTCAATTAGAGACAAGAATTTATTTCCAACTGTAGCTATGGTTTGATCTATTTCTTTCATTCTTTGCTTTTGCCTCATGTATTTTGAAGCTCTGCACACATGGGGATTGCTATATCTTGAGAAATTAACTCTGTATCATTATGGAATGTCCCCTTACCCCCCCAAGACAAGGATGCGTTTTCATGACATTGTAAGAACAGAAAATGACAGGTCAATAGTCCTCGTGTACATAAATGTAAAAATCCTTCACAAAAATATTAGCAAATATACTTCATGATAAAAGAATAAAACATTCTAACTGGGGTTCACCCCAGGAATGCCAATCTGGTTCAGTATTAGAGAATCAATGTCCTTTTTACTATGTTAACAAAGTAAAGAATAAGGTACAAAAAAAGCTCTTGAAAAAAATTCAAACTCCATTCATTATCTGAACTCTCAGGTTTCTAAGAATTGAAGAGAACTTCCTGCGCCTGAAATAAAATACCCGTACATACCATCTTACTTGATGATAAAAGACTGATGCTTCCTCACTAAGAACAAGAACAGGGGTATTGTCCTTCACACCCAAGTCTTTCAACTTTGCACCAGAAGCTATTGCTAGTGCAATAAGGTAACAAAAGAAATAAAAGTTACATAGATTGGAAAGGAAGATATAAAATTACGTCTATTCTCAGATGATACAGTCATCTACTTAGAAAACTCCATGGAATCTACACAAACTCTTAGGATTAATAAGTGAGCACATCAGGTCCTAATACATGAAGTCAGTATACAAAAGTGTTCTAAGTTTCTATATGCTAGTAATGAGCAATTAAAACAATTAGAATCTTTAAATTTGAAATTTTTAAGTGGTCACTTATAGTACTTTTGAAATGTATTATATGAAAATGAAATACTTGGGTATAAATCTAAAAATACATGCAGAATCTTTAGGTTGTAAACTACCAAACATTGGTAAAGAAGCTTTATCATTTTAAATAAATGGAGAGCTTGAAGTCTCAATATTGTTAAGGTAACAGTTTTCTGCAGTTTGATCTATAGATTTAGTGTAATTGCAACAAAATGTAACTTTTTGTAGCAATCTCAACTGATTCTGAAATTTATATTAAGATGCAAAGAAGTGGTAATAGCCAAAGAATCATGAAAAAGACTAAATTGGAAGATTCATGCTACTAGTTTCAAGCTATCTAAGATATTAGTGAAAGAACAGACACATAGATCAATGGAAAAGAATAGAGAGGCCAACAATAGACCATACAAGAATAGTCAACGCATTATTTTTTTTTGTAAAGGTGCAAAGGCAATTCCACAAATTGAAAGGGTACCATTTTTAATAAATAGTACTGGAATAATTGGATGTTCATATGTAGGAAAATGTCTCACAACAAATTAAAAATTTAACTCAAAATGGGACATAGAAAAATATAATAAAAACTCTATAAAACTTCTAGGAGGAAATCTGAGTGACTTTGGATGTGACTATGAGGTTTTAGATAACGTATCAAAGTGTGATCCATGAAAGAAATAATTGGAAAATTGTACTTTATCAAAATTCAAAACACAAGCTACTGAATAGGAGAAACTGTTTGCAAACCATACTTCTGATAAAGATCTTGTGCCCACAATAAAAAACAACTAACAAATTAAAAAATGGGCAAAATATCTAAATAGGTACTTCATCAAAGAAGATGTACAGATGGCAAATAAACATATGAAAAGATGTTCAACATCATTAGTTATTAGGGAAATGCAAATTAAAACCACAATGAGGCAGCACTCTGTGCCTATTATTAGACTGGCTAAAATGTGAAAAAAAATTTTTAAAGGTACAAGTGCTGGTGAGAATGTGGAGTTGCTAAGACTCTGATCTGTTGCTGGGGAAATGCAAAATTATAAAACCACCTTGAAAGTCTGTTGGCTTCTTATAAAACTAAGCATACACATACTGTAAGACCTGGCTATTTACTTGCTAGATATTTACCCCAGTTAATTTTTTCAAACTTTGTTCATATAAAAATCTGTTTATGTTTATATCAGTTTTTTTACCCCAAAATACCCCAAACTGGAAACATCTCATCAGCAGATGAATATAAAGTAGTTTTGGTATATCCATGCAATGGAATACTACTCAGCAAGGAAAAGGAATATGCTGCTGATACATGCAGTGACTTGGATGGGTCTTAATGGCATAATGTACAACTAGACCCAAAAGTCTATGTATCATATAATTCTGTTTGTATGACATTCTGGACAAGGCAAAACTATAGAGATGGAAATAGATCAGTTATTTCTATGGGTTGGAACAACTTGAAATATTTTGTGGTGTCAAATACAAGGGAATTTGGGGGACAATGGAACTATTCTCCATGAGATCTGTTGATGGGAACACAACTCTGCACTTGTCAAAACCTATAAAATTGTACGCCACAGGGTTATTTTTACTGTATGCAAATTAAAATAAAACAAAAATCAAACAGGGGGCAGAGATAGAATGCAAACTTTGACAACAGATCTGATTGTATTACAAATGAGTAACACAACCACACTTTAGGAGAGGGGGAAGAACTAGTATGTCAAGTGGATACGGCAGGGCAAAAATAAATACAAAAAAGCATACAAAAACAATGTACTCTGGTTGAGCAATTCTGAAGCCACTTTACATGAATTTATTTTTTGCATACATATACACTTTGCATATAGACCAAATAAATAAACATAGATAATAAGCCCAATTCTAACCTGACAGAGGTTGACCGGAAAGGGAAATGCTAGAATGAGCCCTGTGATGTTGGACTGGAGTCAGAGGTAATAGTATGAATGCATACTTGTAAATATATATGCATACATGTGTATACACACAGATGGATAATATAAAATGTGACTGCATACATGGGTTAGTACACACTTCATATTTTTCCTTGCTGTGTGTACTACAAGTGACATCCCAGTAGCAATGAACAATGTAGTACCCAGATTTTGGTTTTTAAGTACTATTCTCCAAAGGAAACAGGACTTTGGAAAAGTCATTTGTTCTAGTATTGGATCAGTAAATATACAACATCAACCTGAATTAATTTTTTTAATGACTTTTTAAGAAAAGATTTATTTATTTATTTATACAAGCACTGGGTACAGTCAGAAGCGCGGGAGGGTGAGAGAACTCACCAGAGCCAGAGCGGGGAGCAGAGCAGGCCGAAGGACCGAAGTACACAGCTGAGGGGAGCAGCAGGCGGCAGGAGAGGTCTGCGCGCCATGTGGGACCCTCGCCTGGCAGCCGGGGATCGAACCGGCGCTGCAGAGGTTGCGGGCAGCCTCGCAACCCAGCACTCAACCTCTGCGCCACCAGGGGAGGCCCAACCTGAATTAATTTTGTGTTGTCAGAAAGTAAGGAAATGCTTTTAAAAAGAAAGAAAGAAAGAAAGAAGAAAAAAATGGGGCAAATGAAAAATCACAGGAACTGACCTGAGAGATCTCAATGGTGAAAGCTGGAACAATTTGAACTATAAAATAACTATAAAACTAACTATATATAAAACTATAACTATAAAAACAATATTGAATTATAATCCAAAAAATACAATAGATATCCATGAGCCTATACTCAGGGTAGACACACAACTCTGCATTTGTCAAAACCCAATGAATTGAAAACAGAAGAGTAAGTTTTACAAATTTAAAGAAAATCAAACAGGAACCATACTAATACAAATGAGTAAACAGGGAAAAAGGATCAAGTCTTACAGACGAATTCAAATAACAAATGTGGAAGGACTAAGGAAATAGAAAATCACCATTAGAACAGCCAAATGGTAATTCCAGGCACAATCCACCAAAGAATGCTGAAATTAGTGGGCAAAACTTTAGGCTCAAAATATCTCCCTCCACATATTTAACGGAAAATAGTAACTTCACTGGAGGAACCTGGTGGACACCACCTGAGCTAAGTGATCAAGGTTAACATCATCAGTAATGAGATACCGACACTGTGTACCTCCTATTATGCTGCACTGACAGTCGCACATCTTCCCTGTGGCTGTGGACCCCAAAATCATAAGCAAACCTGATTATGAGAAAACGTAAGACAAACCGAAATTGAGGAACAGTTTACAAACACCTGTCCAGGACGCTTTAAAAGTGTCAGCATCGTGAAAGAGAAGGCAAGACCCAGATAAGGAGCTGTCCCAGATGGAAGGAGACTAAGGAGACAGGACAAGTCTGTGCCCGTGGGATCTGGCAGAAGAAGGACAATGGTGAACAGCCAGTGACATCTAAGTGAAGTCTGGTTTGCTGATGGTTTTGTCCCACTATTAGTTACTGGTGTCAGTAATTGTGCTATAGTTATATGCAAGGTGATCACAGTAGGGGAAGCTGGGTAAGGGATACACAGGGACTATCTTTGCAACCTTTAAGTCTACAATTATTAAAAATTAAAAGGCTTTTTTTTTTTTTTTAAAGCCTGATGACATTCACAGAGGGAATGATAATGTGTCCTTTAGTGGAGGGATTAGAAGCAACTGGTTCAGATGCAGGAGCATCAGGAGCAGAAGGGGACCTAGTGTACATAGAAGCCATATTCCCATTTTAGAGCTGGGTGAACTGAGAGGTAGGAGACCTGGCTCCGGGCACAGTGGCAACAGCTGTAGGGCAGGACTAGTACCCTGGTTTCCTGGCTCCTCCTGTGCCACTTTTTCCACCCACCCCCCGTCTCTCTGCTCTGGAAAGGAGTTTTTTTGTTCTGCTGATGCTGTTGCTGCTTTGTAAAGTCCTGGTTAGATAGCTTGTTGAACCAAATATCCCCCATGTTCCCTGTTACAGGCTTCTGTTTGAATCATTTCTGCCCTCCAGATGATGGCTTATTTATTTATCTTTTCAGCAGAAAATAGAGACAAGCAAGAGACCTCCCTCTGGAACGTCTACTACCTCCAAAAGCACCTCCCCCACCCTCACACCCTCCCCTTCACCCAAAGGGCACGCGGCTGAGTCCTCTGTGTCCTCCTCCTCATCCCACCGACAGTCCAAGAGCAGCGGGGGCTCCAGCAGTGGCACCATCACGGATGAAGGTGAGTCCCCCAGGCCCTGAAACCCCATCCTTTCCTCCTCGCCCTGGTGACCCGGCAGCTGCCCTTAATTAATTGCTAGAGCCTTTCTAGCTCAAGTTTTCTTGGTTACAAATACTCTCATCCCTCTCCTTCCCTGATTCTGCTTGGTATTTTTATCTTTACTGTGCTTAAGGTATGTGTAAGGGGCAGGAATGACACAGGGCAGGTTTTCTGATCCAGCAGACCAGGTAAAGGAGGAGAAAGTCCTGGAACCCTCAGTGGCTTTTGCAGGCTTTTATTGGAATTACCAGGTACACTGCAGGCAGGGGCGCTGTGGGGCCGGGAGGCTGGCAGCCCTCCCAACCCCCAGCAAGTCTTCACTCTTTCTGGGCTCTCTGGCCTTCTCTCTGCTTCTCTGCTGCTTGGCTTCTCTGCTTCTGCTACTTCTCTTCTCAGCTTCTGCTGGCGTCCCTGCAACGCCACCCTTAAAAGCCCAGTTTCAGCCCAGGTGAATCCCATCTACCTATGCCCACACCCTATTCCAGGTGCCCGCCATCAGGCATGCATTCAGTACCGCAAGGATCCATCATCTATCCTGATGGCGGGAGGGCAGAAAAGCCTGATACTTTTACCTTACCCTACAGTATGGTAAGGTTTTTCAAATAACTTGTGAATGTAGGTGATTTTGTTTATACACACAAACATACACCTGTAGATATGCCAGCTACGTACCTTTTCCTGAACTTTGAAACGAAACGACACAGCACTGTTCATTTGTCAGCTCATCTAACGGAAGTGTCTAGGGTGTTCTTCAGGCATGTCTGGATCCAAAGGCATGTGCCCCCAGCAGTTTCAGGGTTTCTTCCTCTTCCTATTAACATATCAATGCCAGCAAAAAGTAGATCCACCAAAATGCCAGGGGTACTACCAAAGGTCATTGGCCTGACTTGAGTCACTGGCCATGCTTGACCATCTTTGACTGTCTCTGCATCCACGAGGGGTGAAATGTGTGCCTTTGGAGGCAGGGTCAGGGTTAGAGTCCACCCTGCCAATGCTGTGTGCACTGGGAGCAGGAGGGAAGTGGCCCCTCCTTAAAGGAAAGTTGAAGTGCTGTTTCCAAAAGGAAAAGAGCTCGGAGGCTGGACAAAAAAAGCAGTAGACATCCGGGTCCAGGAGAACCTTGGAACCTGCCTGCCTGAGTTGCAAGCCCTGCCTGCCCCTGGGGATACGGAGGAAACAAAGATGGGATGGACATCTGGGCAGGGGTGGGGGTTCTTCTGTGAAGCCCCAGATAAAGATTTGAAGATAGAAAAGATAAAGGGAGAGGAAGAGAAGAACCCATCCTTTAAGACTGCCTTTGGGAGGCTGCTGGATCTGGGGGTGGGGAGGAGGAAGAGGAGCCTTGGTGAGAGATGGGCCCAGTTGTATAGATCCCAGCCAGAGAGGAGGGCAGTCCCGCGTGTGCTGGGTCCTCACAGAGGCGTGGAGGCCTGGCCACTGCCCGCGAATGAGCTGCAGGTTCTGCCCAGCGCGGCTGGGGAAAGTTGGAATCAGCTGCATGGGCTCAAGTGTGTGCTGGGTGGGAAATGTGTGCTGTCCTGGGCATCCTCTATTTGGGGCTTCCTTCCTGTTTTGAGCTGTCTAGTGCTATCATTCCTTAACGCCTCTGAGATTCACTAGCAACCCCAGTCCTGCCTAACTGTGTTTTCTTTGTGGAGTGTTAAGCCCCCACTCACCATTTCTCTCACCTCAGAGACGTTCAGGAATTGAGACCCCTAAAGGTTGAATTAGGGATTTGCATCCCTACCTTAATTAATTTAGGATTTGAAAGCCATTATCTGACTCAGCAAAGTTGCTCACATGGAGTTCCAGCCTCCACAGTCACTGTTTCATCTCCCATGTTCTTGTCAATGGCGCTGCCCCCAGCCTCTGTGTGGAAGTACACTCATTGGCTGTGGGTACAGGAGGAGGGCAAAAGTGACATGAACATTCAGTGAGGTGCCTGAAATGCAACAAAAGCATTGGCCACAGGGGATTTGCAATCAGGAGTATTGTGTAATTTATTATTCTATAGAACTTGTGCACACACGCCCTTTAGATCCATAAAATCTTTACAGTCTGTGTACCTACCTACATGCCTATGTTCCCCCCGCCCAGGGAGCCAGTTGTTAAACATTTCCCAGCACACCACTGTGGGAAGACTGCACAGGAGGGGCAGCGGGAGCAGCAGTTCACATCGTGAAACTACAGTGGCTCAAGACTCAGTTAATCTCATATGTCCGAGCTCAGGAGTAGGAGTAGTTCTTCTGTGCTGCCTTCTCCAACCTTGGGCTGGGTCAGCCGCTTTCTCTGTCCCAGATAGCCTGTCAGTGCCTTTCACCACCAATGAGAAGTTCAGGGCAGGTGTGTCGCCCAGGCCTGGTTGCAAGACCACTGGGCTTGAGCCTTTCATTGCTGTGGGTCAGCTGTATGACCTCGCCTGAGATGTGATGCCTGCCTTTCTGTGCCTCACTTCCTCAGCTGTAAATGGGGACAGGAGCAGGACTGGCAAGGTTGTTATCACCAACACCGATGGGCTGTCCGTGCCCTGGGCTGATGGGTGCGCACTGTGCACACTGTCGCCCATCATGAATCTTCCAACCATGTGGGCTCCTTCACAGCAGATGCCAAGCCTTCCTTGCATTCCCAGTGTGTGGAGGGCATGTTGGTAGCCACTGTTGAATGATGATGCATGAATGAATAAGAGAAGGGGGTCAGGCCTCCTAACCCCTGTTAATTCTTCTGGGAACGGCACCCACTGCCCCAGCACCTTTGCACTTGCTGTCTTCTCTGGCTGGACTGGAGCTCTTTCCCTTGATATCTATACACTTGCTCCTCAGATGTCACTTTATAACAGAGGCCTTCCCTGAGCAGCCTCTACAAAATAGCATCTTCCACCATCCCACCCCCTCCCCAGCCTGCTTTTTTCTTCTTGCTGGCTCTGGCCTGTCTTTCTGTGTGCTGTACATTTTAGTCCCTATTGCTTCCTCAGTCCTAGCAGTCTGGTGAATCCCTGTTGAATGTGTGAATGACTGTTTCTTGAAGCCCCTCATAGGATGGTCTTCATTCTTTATCCTCTCTGATCTGATATGTTGGTACCCCAAATCTCATTTTCCCCTGGTCTGTGTTCCTTTGGCTCTGCTGTTCCACCCCAATGCACCCTTTCCTCCTTTGGGATGGCTCCAACCTCCGTACACTTGAGCCAGACCGCAGCTCTGTGCTGCAGCCTGCCTACCTGCTCTCCCAAGTTCTTTCCGTGACTAGCTGAGGACTTGATGGCATTAGATTTACTGCAGGTGCAGTTACTATCAGTCAAGAACCCATCATTTAAAATTGTTCTTGCACAGAAAGCACAGTTTTAGTCTCAGCAACTAGAACTCCGAGAACTTAGGCGAAACCATCTGAGAGTCTGCCTGGTCACAAACCACCTCAGTTGGTCTTTGCCACCTGACTTGGGATTTGGGGAGACGCTGGTGATAGGTCATCAATCAGGACTTGGACAAGAGCATGGCTGGCAGGTGGCTCTGGACCCCTCCACCTTTATCCCTAGGAGTGCGGCCCAGACTTGCATTCTGTGGTGGAGTTTCTTACAGAATTTCACTTGAAATCGGGTTCTCATTGCTTTATGAAAATTTCAAGACCACTCGTTTAATACATTTTATCAAATTCTAAATTTTTTTTTTACATCTTTCCCTCTTGAAGATGAACTGACTGGTATCCTTAAGAAATTATCGCTCGAGAAATATCAGCCCATTTTTGAGGAGCAAGAGGTAAGGATGCTCTTTTTAAATGTCACTTTTAAAACGTACTGTAAAAAAAATTGCCTCAATACGTAGGTTTCCATTCTGCACGCCTAGACCAATCTTCTTCACGAAGCAGCTGAGGAAATAGAGTTTGTGTTCAGCACATTGAGTTCCATTCACTACAGTGAGATCTTGAAGACCTTCTGGCTTGTTTTGTTATGATAGGATGTTATAATTTTGAGGACTGTTCTATCCTGTTAAGTTTCTGTCTGTCCTGAAAACACTTTTGTTGAAGGGGATTTGCTGAGGAGCTTTTAAGTATGAGCAAGTCAATTGCAGATACTAATGAATCTTGGTGTCAGGATGTAGAATCTGTATGAACCTGAAAGAGTTCCTATTTGCTTAAAAGCACTCACAGTTACATTCTTTAAAAAATTGCTGTTCTACTGAAGTTTGACAGTTCCTCCAAAGTTAAACAGAGTTACTTGTGACCCAGCATTCCCACTCCTGAGTATATACCCAAGAGATTTGAAACTGTGTCCACACAAAAACTTGCACGTGAATGTTCACAGCAGCGTTATTTATGATTGCTAAAAGGAGGAAACACCTGAAATGTCCATCAATTGATCATTGGATAAATAGCATGTGGCATGTATTAAAAGATAGAAACAATAAAATACTAATACTGCTGTAGCATGGGTGAAAATATGATGCTAAGCAGAATAATCCAGTCACAAAGGCCACATAAGGTACGATTCCATTTATATGAACTGTCCAGAGTGGTCAGATCTGTAGAGACAGAAAGTAGAATTAGTGGTTGCCAGGGAAAGGAGGGAGGAGAGAATGAGGAGTGACTGCTAATGGGAATGGGGTTTCTTTTGGGGTGATGAAAATGTACTGAAATTGAGTATAGTGAGGGTTGCATAACTCTGAATGTTCTAAAAATCGTTGAATTATACACTTTAAGTGGGAGAATGGTATGATAGATGCATCATATCTCAACAAACTGTTAAAAAATTTACCGTTTTGGTCAAATAAAACTCCTCTGCATGCCTGTTAGCAACCAGGGGATGATCACTGGCTCAGAACATTCTGGTCCCCAGTTTAGTGCATGACAATGTTCAGAATTACAGCAGCCATCAAGAGACATTCTCATGGTCCCCAGCAAGCTTGAGATACAACCGAGGTGTTTGTATTCTAATTCAAAAAACAGATAGGGGTGTGTGGCTTTCTTCCTGGGCTTGTTTTTCTGCCTTACCCTGTCTGTCCTCCCGGCTCCTCAACATCTCAAACTTTAGCGGTGATTTTCTCATAGCCACGATACCTGTCCTGCGTGCAGATGGCTGCCTGCTTTTGCGTCATGTGTACCAAGCCCTCTTGGAGCGTGTGGAGAACCTGTCTCCAGGTGCACTTCTGTTTCTTTAGCTAGATCTTTCTCACAAGGTGATGTGTGCTCCGATTTCTCCCTTTTTTTTTTTGTTAGCTGATGTCCCCCTCTCAGATGTTGCTGCAGTAGTCCAGTGTAGGCACTGAGGTGTGCTCCAGCTGACCCCTGAAGCTTTCAGAGTTTGGAAACAGAGGGAGAGTACTGGCCAGGTAGACCTGCCATTGTCTTAACTCACCCATCTGAAAGTCTCAGTGTCTGGGGTCAAGGAGGCAGCACCACGGTGGATGCTGGGGCCACTGGCTGGAGGTGGCAATGTGCTGGGGTAGGTGAACTAAGCTGAGGCAGTGCCCTTTCCCTGCTGACACCACACCTGCCCTGTTGGAACCAGCTCTGCTACCCCCTTGGACTTGACTCCTCTCTGGTGTGCAGTTTGCTCTTTATGTGTCCCCACAACCCAGTGTCCCCTGAAGACTTTAGTAGGCTTCAGCCTGATTTGTCCCCACCCTTGCCTTTAGACCCAGTCTCCACACCTCTGGGGGGAGGGGAGGAGCATTAGTCCCTTCCAAAACTCCTGGAAGCATCAGCCATGTGCAGGGGACTTTCTTCTCATTTCCAGAAAGGGTAAAGATTTTCTCCCTATTTTTATATAATTTTAACCTGCGAGAATTTGGAAGAGGAACAATGTTAATCCAAGTTCTGGAATCTTACTACATTGAAACTGAACATAAACTAATAATATTCATCTTTCTACCTGTATTAGGATGGATTTAGCTACATGTATTGAAAAGTACCAAAACTTTAGTGTCTTAAAATAGGAGAGGGCCTCCCCTGGTGGCGCAGCGGTTGAGCACTAGGCTGCGAAGCTGCCCGCAGCCTCTGCAGCGCAGGTTCGATCCCCGGCCACGGGCGAGGGTCCCACATGGCGCGCAGACCTTTCCTGCCGTGCCCACTGCTCCCCTCAGCAATGTATTTTGGTCCATCTGCCTGTTCTGTTCCCTGCTCTAGCTCTGGTGAATTCTCTCACCCTCCCGCGCTTCTGACTGTACCCAGTGCTTGTATAAATAAATAAATAAATCTTTAAAAAAATAAAATGGGAGGTTATTTTTCACACAGAAAGCTTGGAATGAGTCACTGGGGTGCCTTCTAGCTCTTTTCTCTACCTCCCCTAGATATGTAACGTTCATTCTCAACGTCCAGTGTGTTTACTAAAGCCCCGGATGTCACAGCCAACTCACAGGCTGCAGGTGGAAGAAGGAAAAGGGCATGTGCTCTCCTTTTTTTCAGGAGATTTCCCTGAAGGACCATAGAACCTTTTGTAGCTCATTGGTCAGAAGTTTGTTACCTCTCGTACTAATATGCGTGGCAAGTCCAGAAATACAGTGGCCCAGCTGAAAATTGGTATTCTGTTACCCAGAGAAGTGGGGCATGAAAACTGAAAGGACACTGGATGTTTCTCTCTCATCTCTGCTAACCCTACTTCATAAGTGCTCGCAGGAGGCGAATTCAGGCTCTGTGCTCTCCTTCTGAAATACACCATGAGCGTCTGGCAGTCCCCAGGGTTGACAGAGGTCAGCGGTTGAGAAGGTCAATGCAGATGGGGAAGCAGAAGATCGATGTGTTATTCACTGAATCAGCAAACACTAGTCAAGTCTCTGCCCCTTTTCATCCCTCTGCCAAAGTCTGGCCCTAGGGATCGCAGGAATCCCCTAGACGCTCTCAGAGCCCAGAAGAGGGGTCTGCAGTGAGGGCCAGAGGGGCCCTGGAGTTAAGTGGAGCTCTTTCAGATGAGCACTATAGCTGGGCTTTGCTTTGGGAGGGCCCAGCAGGTAACAGATCCCTTGATTCTTAGGGAGAATTGAGCCATGTTAGCAAGGCTATCCCTAGGGAGCCCCAGGAGAGAAACCATTGAATCTGCAGCTGCAGCATCTGAAAGGTGAGGTGGCATGTGGAGGCCCTGCCCATGCTCAAATCCCAGCTCGGCCACTGACCAACTAGATAGAGATCATCTCTGTTCCAGCTTCCCTAACTCCAAATTGAGGGTAGTAATACACCTGCTTATGCTGTGAGCCTGAAACAGCTGTGATTTTTGCATCATGTTAGTGTTGTTACTCCCCTTTCCCACTTGGCGGTGACACCTGGGCTTGTAGGAACCTGCCTGAGGCGGGCCTGTGGCTGCTGTTGTCCCCCCTGCAGGGCTGTGGCATGCTGGCCTCCTCAGAGCCTTCTGACCTCCAGCCACCTGCCTTAGAGGGACACACGCTGCAGGATTTAAACTGTGCAGCAGGGGGCCCCGCTGAGGCACAGGCAGTGCTGACAGAGCTGTAGGGCTTCTCTCCTGGAAGCCAGAATGTAGGACAGTGAGGTGCCCTCATTCCAAGCCCTTCTCCACCTGAGTTCCCCATGGCCCTCTTTCTTCTACGGCCTCTGCTCTTTTACATTCTCACTGTGCTACCCCAGTCTGTGTCTCTCTTGTCAGGCAGGGCGGGTGCCAGGGAGGGCAAGGTAAGTGCCCCCAATCCCCTGTGCTCCAGGCAGCGCTGCTCAGATGCAGCCACAGTGGAGGTCACTTCCTAACAACAGGACTTGGGTTTTTTACCACTTAGCCTCCTCAGTTACTATCTCAGAGATGTGACTGACTGACTTGTTTCATTTTCAGGGTCTTTCCAAAACATACCTATGCTGAAAACCCTGGGCTGGAGCTGAGGGAGTTGATCCTTAATGCCATTCAACTAAACTTCCAGCGGAGAGTCAGGAATTGGAAGTAGTAAATCATAATTAATTCACTACTAAAAAGCACTAATAGCTCATAATCATGATATTTCTATTGTGGTCGGGCGAAGAGAGGTGAGGCGTCAAGCAGATGGTAGCAAATCCCGCTTCTCTCTTCCCAGGTGGATATGGAAGCATTCCTCACGCTCACTGACGGCGACTTGAAGGAGCTGGGTATTAAGACAGATGGATCCAGGCAGCAGATTTTGGCAGCAATTTCTGAACTGAACGCAGGCAAGGTATTGTTCTCAATCTTCCCTTTTTACCGTTCACACACAGAGCCCCCCCGTTTCAGACAGCTGAGAGCTTTGCCAGGCTTCTCAGCCCTCGGTGTTCCTGATGACCCCGTGTTCTAATTCCATTTCTCCCAGCATATCTCAGAGGTCAGTTCCCCTTGCACACGTCTTGTAACTGAGCGCTCGCTACCTCCCTGGGTGACCTGTTCTTTTTTCAGATCTCTCTCCCATACTTGAATCTCTCTCCTTAGAGTCAACTGAAATGGCCTCTTGGAGCACAGTCCTCAGTTAAGACGGGCCCTGGAGTGATACCGGCCTGGGGTTGAATCCCCCCTCCTTGATTTGCTCACTGCATCACCCTGGGGAAGTCACGGCCCTCTCTGAGCCTCACTTTCTTCATCTGTAGGGCAGGGTGATGAGGTCGTTGCCAGGACTGAAGTGTTCACACACAGAGCTGTCAGTCACCGTTGCTGCTGGCTCTCTGCATTCTTGTCTAATGTCAAATTTCTGTTTCATCTTTAAAGGTAAAGATTAGCAGTGCCCCCTCCCAGCAGGCACACCTGCGCAAAAACCAAATAAACGCCAAGTCTCCACTCACCTTCAGACATGGTTGTGCTGGCAGACATGGTGCACTCTTACCACTGGTCTGGCCTCCTCTGCTCCTTTCCCTAATGCAGACTGGTTTTGCTGTCTCACTGCAGCAGCAGCGTGTAATACCTGCTGACCTGTTGCTTTTCACACTCTGCCTGTCCGCTGCCCTGTTGGATGATAGCACCATGCCTGGGATCGTAAATAGAACTGTCATGGACATCTCTGCTTTTTCCCTTTTCCTTCTTTTGTTTTGTTCCTCAGACTGTGTTCCATGTGTATGAGGTTATGTTAGAGAGCATGAGTGGTTTCATGATTCTTTCTCTATACTGCTCGGTGGTACATAGACCTGTGAACAGACTTGTATCCCCAGTGGCAAATAAATATTCAAGTGGCACTTTGTCATTCATAAGCCACTTTGCATGCACTTCCTCAGTTTAATCCTGGGAGGAAGGCCTCACTTAGTCCAGCTGTGAGGGAGCAGAGTCTCAGAGGGAGAGTGTTCTCAGGTCACCCAGTGGGCAGGGAAAGGAGGCCTCTGCCCCAGGCCCTTCCTCACATGGTCCAGGTGCTCCACGCTGTGTGGAGGCTTCCCTCCCACCCCTGCCGGGATTGGCAGTGGGCTTCTTGTTGCCATCATTATTATTTATCTGTGTATAGGCCATGAGCTGGTTCCTTGGGGTAATTCAGTTAGAGCTGCTTCAGTATTTGCAAGGCTAAGGATTTTGCCTCTGGGAGGGGAAGGAGGGAAGCAGGGTTCGGTAGAAGGACAGAAAAAGTTCTGGATACAGGGACAGTAAGGGTCAGGGAAGGCAGGCCAGGAGCTGAGGGCTACTGAGTCTGGCTCAGGGCTTGGTAGATGGTAGCTGCTAATGCCTCCAGAAAGTCCCCTCTGGCTTGGATGGCCATGGCCTCCCTCTTCCCTGGACCAAGAACACAACAAGAAGGCAGACTGAGCTGCTTTGAAAATCTTAGGCAACTTAGCTGTTTTCGTCAGGGTAAACGATATGTGACGTCTTGAGCTCACTCCAAATGAAGACATTTTTTCTTCAACTTTGCACTTACTGGAACCTGCTCTTCATTGTCTCTCCAATTCATGCCCCCTCACTCCATTTTATATGTCCTCTGCTAAATAAGATCCCTCTAGAAAAGCAGAAGCAGCAGCCAGCCATTAGTGTTGTTTTAGCTCACGCCACATGAAGACCATGGGTTGGGAGGCTTGTAAACAACAGAGATGTATTCCTCACAGTCTGGAGGCTGGACGTCCAAGATCAGGGTGCTAGTGTGGTGGAAATGTGTTGAGCTGCAGACTGCCAATTTCTCATTGTATCCTCACATGACAGAGAAGAGAGAAGCAAGCTGTCAGCAATCTCTTCTTATAAGGCCATGATCTTACCTTGGCAACCCTGCCCTTGTGACCGCATCTGATCTTGATCACCTGCACAAGGTCCCGTCTCCTAACACCATTTCACCTCAGGGTGAGGTTTCAGCTCGTGAATTGGGCAGGCAGGAGGGGAAACACAAAATTTTAATCCATACCAAAGATCTTCCTTGAGGGTCCCAGATGACAAGTTCCCACCTTGTCAACCAGGTGATTCCAAAGGCTAATGCTGTTCATAATAATGCAGAGATCATGCTGCAATATTTTGTGCCAAATGATTTTCTTTCTGTGGCTGAGTCAAATTTGCATCTATAATTTACATCCTCCTTTCTTTGCTTAACATTAAACATGCTATAACCTGTGTCAATAAGAACTCAATAAATTTGCTTAGATGTACTCAAATTATTTTTTGAGGGGAATCCCTGCTTATTGCATATGTAGATGTGCAAACTTTCTATAAATAGTATGGCAGTGGACAACTTTGTATATAAGGCTTTCTAATTACCTCTTTGAAATAGGTGTCTAAAGGTGGAATTACCAGGTCAAAAAGTCTAAATCAGCATATATGATGTGTCATCCTTAATCATTTTCCAGAAAGAGCCAGTGACATCCCACCAGCTGTGGGTATGTGAGTGCCAGGGGCCCTGTACCCTCGCCAGCATTGAGTAATATCAGTTTGGTTTTTTATTTTTATTAATTTGATAGGTATAAAAAAATACCTTGTTTTAATTTGCATTTCTTAACTACTAGATAAGTAGACTTTTTTCTATATTTTTTGACCATTTGTTTTTTGAAACACAGGGCTTTTAAAGGGCAATTAATCATTTTCAATTACTTGAGGATGCAGAGAATGATTATGTTTCCATCATCTATGGCTCCCCCTAAGGTTAGGAGTCAGAGAGCCCTGGCTCCTCCTGACCTCATTTCTCAGGCAGTTAAGGCTGAGGTGGTGTTTAATAACGCCGCTGTCTTCTCTTGTATTGGTTTTTTAGCCCTCCACAGTTTGCAGAGTGTCAGTCTGTTCATTCTCAAGTTGAGCCTCATGCAGCCCCCACACGTGTAAATCTCCCCATTTTACACATAGGGAAACACAGCACAATGGAGTTAGACCTGGAGGCCACTGCTAGTGAGCAGTAGAGTAGGGGCTTGGGTCCTCTGACCCCCACATCCGGTGCTCTGCCCTCTGCTCTGCAGCCTTTAGGTTTGTGCTGATGGAACCCTGACTGCATTTTCCCAGCTTATTTCAAATGACTGGGATGGACTGGTGTGAAGAATTCTTTCCGCTGCTGGTGTGTAGGAGGCCTTGTCACCACTAGAGGGCTCTGCTTGGGGTCTGGAGAGGACCCCTTCCTCCTCTGTCCCAGGGATGTGGGGAGTCCATGAAATGAAAGAAGAAAAAGTTTGAAATCTAGGCTCATTCAGGAGACTTCCCCTATATCCCCCGCCCCCAAATTTCATTCCTAGCACAGAGCAATCTACCAGAGATTTCTAATTTACGTTTCATGTGGAGCACATTTATTTTTTGCTCGAAAAATGCATGTTTAAATCTTTAAAAAAATAAATAAATAGAAGTACATGTTTAATCTACACTGCTGCCCTGTCAGCTCCTGCTATCCACATAGGGTCCAATGTCAGCACAAACATTTGAGATATACCATTATTATTCCTATTTTATGCATGAGGAAAGCGAGGCCCAGAGAGGTGACATATTTTTCTGAAGGTCTCTCAGCTAATACATGGGAGACATGGGATGTGAACCAAGACTGTTTGATTCCAGTCTCTGTTCTTAGCCTCGGTGTTAACATTGTCGCTTGGCCGGGTATTCGGAGCAGATGTTCTGTGGACTTAAACACCCACATCCTCCTCCTTTTCCCATCTCAAAACGTGTGTGGAGGTTGGGGATCAGATGAGAAGTAAATAGCTGTGAAAAGGAATCTGACAGATCTTAGGCAAGGGCAGGTAAAGGCAGTTCAAATTCCACTCTGGAGCAGAAAGAAACTGAGTTCCCACTGAATTCCCTGGAAATTCGAGGACTGGAAAGACTCGCAGTGTGCGGCAGGGGAGGAGACCACCCTTCAAGGCTGTGTGACGCAGGGCAAGTCAGTCCTGCTTCCCGGGCTCTGTGTCCACCTCCTCCCAGGGATCGGATCCTGCATCGCGGGACCTTTCCAGCCCTGACGTGTGCGACTGTGGAAGCTGGGGGAGATTCTGACTCAGTATGTTTTTATTAAGCTCAGTATTCTTTCAGTTAGGTAATTTATTTTCCCCACGACGCCCATGGGTTTTTCAAGTATGAGTTCAGCACTAACAACACTGTGTCAATTGAATTAATGGTTAAAAGATTTAATAAGACATTTTATGTCTGTTTTCTACTTCTTCCACAGGGACGAGAGAGACAAATTTTACAGGAAACCATTCACAACTTCCACTCTTCCTTTGAGAGCAGTGCCAGCAACACCAGGGCTCCTGGAAACAATCCCTGTACGTGATCCTCCTTCCTGTGGTCTCCAGTATGAGCTTTCTGGATCCCAGTACCTTCTTCACATAACCAGTGCTCCAGCCACCATTAGCTCTTCATGTTCCCTAGGCTTTTGTCCTTAGTCATGTTGTTCCCTCTGCCTGAAACACATGTCTTCCCTTCCCAGCCATGTAGACTTATTTTCACATCGATCTAGTATGGCTGCTTCTGCTCCACAGGTGGTTTCAGCAGTGGTTCAGGAACACAGCTTCTTCCATCTTGTGGCTCTGCCATTACGGGAGGCCTTAAGAGTTTATTTCTGACTGGCAGAGGGGAAAAGGAATGGTGTTCAAGGCAAGTCACCTCTTAACTGCCTTGCTCCTAAATACTCAAATTCCTTTGGCTACTGGTAGTCACGTGGCCCTACCTGGAAGCAAAGAAGGCTGGGAAATGTAGTCTCTGTTCAGGAAGTGGCTTTGTAGCCCCAATGCTAAACTTAGAGGGTAATGTGTACCTATGGAAGGAAAGTTAGCCCCCTCCCTGCCACATCTTCCCTTGAAACATCTAACTTGTCACCTAGCACATGAAGCTCGTCTTGAGTCCCTTACACAGAGCTAACCCCATTCCAGCCACTCTTACTCCTTGTATGTCTGCTCTAGCACCTGGCTGCACCCACGGCATTCAACAGGCAGGGTGTGTATGGGAATATGTTTTCCTATATTTCAAAGGCAGCCTTTCACATAGGAAGAGAGAGAAAAGCCCACTGTGTGTTCTTGCAGGGGGCACTCCTCCTTTCTGGTTTAATTTCCTCATCTGAATGATTGGGGATCAAGCAAGATAATGCTCTGATACTCTGTGTTGCTCCCCACATACCCCTGTAGGTCCGGACATGGGAGCAGAGGAACCTAATATATTACCTTATTAGTATGTTTGTGGAAGGACTTCAGTGCTTCAATTTTCTAGGCAAAGAAGCAGAGAATTGAGGATTTTATCTAAAGTCTATTAATGCTGTGTTCCTCAGAAGGAAATCAACCCATGTAGTTTTCCACCCAGTCCTTTAAAATCCAGTTTTCTGAAACATTTTCAAGCAAATTAATTTCGTTCATCTAGCACTTGATGCATTTCTGTCTTGTCCTATGGAATTGGGGTGCTGCAGAGTTGAACTAGCTCCACTTTGAGGAACTCGACGGCAAGAGAAGATGGGAGTGGACAGTCCAACCTCAGGAGGCATCATAGTGGAGTGGGAAGCACACGTTGTGTTCTGGATTCAGGCTCAGTGTTCAGGTCCAGCCCCAGGGCTGGGCAGCTGTGTGACCAGCTGTGTGGCCAGGGACAGGTTACTTAGCCTCTTAATCGGAGCTTAGAGTCAGGGTCCTTCCTTGGCCCGTGGGACACAGCAGTAGACATCAGCCTGATTCATAGAAGCCTTATCTTGACCTTGAGCTCTGCCACCATATGCTTGTCTCCTTGAAGTGTGGGAGGGGTAGTCACTCATCTGTTCCTCTCCTGGCCACAAATGCCCGGGCCCTCTCCTCTGCCCATGAATGCCCACTCCCCGTCTCCTGGTGGTAAATTCCCATTCCCCTTCTGGCTCAGAGGCAGTTGTCACGCCATTGCTGGGAGTCTCATTGTGTTTCCCTTCCCCTGGTGACACATTGGGGCCCATTTCTACATCCTCTCATCTTCCTAACCATAGCAGCCAACTTTGCACATGACTGGAGAGTCTGTTTCCTGACATGCAGGTTGAGATTAAACTGTTGCAGGCTGAAGGTGACAGTGAGGATGAATACCACTGAGGTCAAGCTGCTGCACACAGTAGGTGTTCAATGCCCATGTCTCCCTTATAAAGATGTATGTCCATGCCAACTAAAGTGAAACCTTGCCTGGGAGCCACCTAAAGCTGAGACACCAACCTCAGATAATGACTTCACCAAAGCTCAGGGATGACAGAAGTGACATAGACACGGCCTTACCAGCAGTGAGATAGAGCAGAAAGCCCAGTTCATTTATCTCCAGCTTCCTTCATCAGGTGGACACCCCCTCACACTCCTGTCTCAAAGCACTGCCTAGTGGGGTGAACCATCCCCATCGGGCCCTCACTTCCTGTCAGGTTAATTGTGGATGCAGGGCATGGCCATCCTCTTCAGTGAGACCCTGTCCCTGCCCTGCAGATGGCTAGTTTAGAGTAGGACATGGGCTGACCCTACATCCTCAGCAGGGCTACTCTGTCCTCATCAGAGACCAGGATGCCTTTTTGTTTCAGCCCTGCAGAGTAGGTTTCCATGTTCCTAGCCATCAAACACTTCTTTGTATTTTATTATTATTCCCATATGAGGACTTGATTCTTTGAAAGATCTGTGTTTGCCAAACATTTATTAAATAATGGTGAATTTGTCTTCTCACTTGGTTTTTTGCTCATCAGAGGCATAAAACATCACTGAGCCATCTCCCAGAGTGAGCGCCCAAATGCCAGCACCTCTGCTTCATTACCCCATGAGGCAGCCTTCCAGCTCCCCTCCCTCCAACTCAGTGGCTGTGGCACGGGCATCTGCACTGACCTCACCAGGGCCACACAGGTAACAGTAGCGTGAATGCAGGTCTCACTTCTCACTCAGGAATCCACGCAGTCACCATGCTGTTTTGCTGGCTCTCAGCAGAGAATAATGTTCAAATGGTATAAACCCAGCCGACAACAAAACAAATATTTAGTCCGTGGGCTTGTTCACAATTTTGGAGTGATGGGAGATGCTTATGAAATACTATAAATAGCTTGGAGATTTCTTCAGAGAATTCTTACAAGTCAGGCCTGCTTCATCTGCACCTCTCCTGGAATCAGTATCTCAGTGGTGTGCTCAGCCCTGGGCAGCATCCGGGGAGCAGAAGGTAGAGCAAGGCCAAGGTCTGTGGGGCCCTCAAGGGTGGAATGAGGATACTGAAGACACTGGGAGGAGACCCACTGTCCATAAGGAAGAACATTCCAGGAACCAGAGCCCCCTGGGAGGGCAAGCATCGCCAAGATGGGGACCCTGAAGGTGGGTGAGCCTGTGCCAGGGCAGCTGAGGGGGATCTGGACCTTGGATGAGGATCAAACCACAAAAGGGGCTTCCCAAATGACCAATTATGCAAGTGACGTGAGAAAAAAGAATATGAGGTAATGAGTTTTCTTGACATGAAATACGTTCATTTACTTAATTCTGATGCAAGCTCCCGCCCCCAACTTTGGGAGAGGGGTGGTAGAAATGATGGTTTTAGTTTTATTGATAAGTAAAATCCAAACATGAGAAACACTGTGTTAGGTCACTTTTGAGGCCTGTTCCAGCCCTGTAATTCTATACAAATCTATAAAAGAAGGGGACTAAGTCCTCATTAAGTTAAAAAAACGAAATTGCCTGGTAACCTAGTAATTCCTTTCCTGGGTATTCCCAAAGAATTGAAAACCAGGTTTTCCTGCAACAGCATGTACGTGGATGGCTATTTGTAGTGCTGTTCATGGTAACACAAAGTGGCAGCAATCCAGATACCTTCAGGGGGTGGATAGATAAGTAAACTGGCCTGTGCACATGGTGGAATGTTATTTAGCCATAAAAAAGAGTGAGATTCTGATCTTTACAACATGCAGGAATCATGCAAATATACTAAGTGAAAGGAGCCAGACACAGCAGGCTGCATGTTCTATGACTCTACTTGCATGAAATGTAGAGACAAAAGCTGTTTCATGGGTGGTGGGGCTTGGAGACAGGAGCGTGCAGCTCAATGAGAAGGGGTTTAGCTTTGGGATGATGAAAAAGTTCTGGAACTAAATAGTGCTGGTTGTATATTGTGATAACTTTCATGCCTCGAAAATGTACTTTAAAATGATTAAAATGTAAGTTTTGTATTACATATTATTGTATCGTGATATAGAACTGCATCATAGTACAGTAATATGATACCTATTATTGATACATATATTATCAATAATATGGTAATACCTATATTATCGTGATACAATAATATATATACATTGTGTGTGTGTATGTGTATTACATACTGCATTTTTTTTAAAAGAGGGAACGGGAGAGCTGACCACCTGGCTGGTCTTTGACCCTCCTGTCTGTCTCTTCATCTTGAACCTCTTTCTGGGTGTAAAACCCGGTGTAACCCTCCCAGTGTCTTCCTCATCCTTCCTCTCCCCTCTGCATGTTGCACACACCTTACTGTCCCCTTCCTCAGAGGGGTGTGGAGGGACCGGGGGGCTCAAGCCTGTGTCTCAAGAGCCTGGCACAGAAGCTGCCCCTGAGTAAGGTGGGGCCACCCCTTCCTGGAGGCAGCGACTTCCCGCCTTCCCACGCTCACGTGCCCTGCCCTCTGCCTCTTCTCTGGCTTGGGATTCCTGTCTCGAAGGGCTGCAGGGCTTCTCGCTTCACTTGCTCACAGCTCTTTTAGCGGAATAATTGTCTCCACTTTCATCACAATCAAGAGCAGTCCCTACAAGTGTTTGCAGACGCGCTTCCTGTTGGCATGGACACCCGCTCCTTGGACTTCTTCAGCGGGTGATGCTCCGAGAGGTCCTCCAGCCCCGGGGACTCCCACTGACCCTGACTCCACCACCAGCCCCTGCACCTGGTCGGGGAGGGGGTGTCCCCAGCCTCCCCCTGCCCAACCCTTTTTCCCTGCCCTTGTCCCCAGACTCTAAGCCATGAACAACAGGCTCATCTCCACTCGTCTGCTCCCCGGGAATCCAGCCCTTGAACAGGGATTTCTAAACAGCAAGCGTGTACGTGTGTGGAGAGGAACCTCGACCACGAAGAAGGCTGCACTGGGGGCTGAACGCCACTGCCACTGCAGCTTTTGTAGGCTGGCTTCCGCGGTGCCTTCAGGCTAGCTGGTTTCACTAAATCCTTGCGAGGGGCAGTGGTCAAGGGGCTGAATCAGCTAGGACCCTCCAAGGGCTTGCCCAAGGGGCCCCCGGGAGCCATAGGCTCACCTAGAGACCCTGTGTGTGGTGCTGGCCTTCAGGTAATCACTGTTTCCTGGCCATTGTAAGTCGACATGCTTGTCAGCAGCCGCTGCCAATGCACCAGGGAGCAAAGCCAAGCCCCTGCCTTCCCAGAGCTTCTGGTCCACAGGTGACCACAGTCCTGGTTTCTCGGTGAGAATGAGAATTAACAATTCGAATCAAGGGCCAGTGCTCTTGGAGCATCAGCAACTTTTAATGGCTCATTTTGTGCCCTTTGCCTGGGCCGCACCAGCCCTTCCTCACCAGCTGCAATGCAGGGGACAAATTAATAAACAAGGAGCCGGTGGCAGTCCGAGGAGTGGCGTGATGGACCCGCCGCAGGGGCCAGGAATGTACCCCCCAAATGAAGTGCAAGAATGAACAGAAAATCTTTGTTTATTGCATACCAATGAACTTGCGGCAGATAATTAAGTTTATAGTCCACAATCATATAAGGAAGATTACAGAGCAAAGGAAGAATTAGATTAAAAAAAAAAAAAAAAGCCCAAGGTGCAGCTGGCTCCTTTAGCCCCATGAACGAGCTCTGCTTTGACCCACTTTCTATCAAGTGCCTGAACGTGGCTCACTTAGCAGTCCCGGGTCACAATGACTTTTATTTTAAAAACTATTTTCAAAGAATTGCACAAGCCATTATCAATGATTATATTGTGTTGTACAAGGTGTAACAGCTGGCATTTTTATGTCCTTTGTTGGGAACCTCAAGAGCAGGTACAGCTTTCACCAGCACCCTGGGGGGCTTCCGGGATAGGGTCCAGGACTGGGGCCTTAGATTTCCTGACAGAAATCTCCTGCCTGGAAAAAACCTCCAAAGGGGCTTCTGCGGACACCCCCAGAGGGCTCTCGGCTGCTTGAGTTTTTGGAAACTGAACTTGTAGCTGGAGGCTTGTGGGCAAAGCTCGGCGGGATTTGTTGGTGATGAAATTGTGTGGTGTTTTTTAGCTACGTCCTCCTACTCAAAGTGCACTCCTCAGACCAGTGGCTGTGGGGCCCCGAGATACTGGAAAGAAAAATAGGCAGCCCCACATCACTGAGCCAGAAACTGCATCTCCATAAGGTCGCCCTCACATGAGGGGTGCATGTGCCGTCAGCAGCGCAAGAGGCTCTGCTCCCCAAGGCTTCCCGTGCGCTCAGCTCTCTCACATATCACCCGCGTGAGAACCGTGATGCTATCGCCTCTTACACAGGGGGCACAGGTGCCAACCAGCCCAGTGACCCACCCAAGGTCACAGGATGTTAGCGTGACATGGAGACTTGGCTTCTCAGGTCTCCCTTCAAATCCAGTAAGCATGAAAGGGGTTTTACACACATCCTCATTTATTCCTCACAGCCATCCCATTTTACTCAGCTCTTCCCATTTTACGAAGGAGCAAGTGAGGCACAGAGGAGTTAAATGACTTGCCTAAAGATGTCACAGCTTGACCTAGACCCCATGTACGTGTGGACTGGACCACCTAGGAATCATAAGCACGTGTACTGTCTTCGGGGAGGGCACAGGGGAAGAGGCCTGAGGTCATAAAACCTGATTTTGAGTCCTTCTATGCCACTGAGAGCCGTGAGGGAAGATCCCCTCATCTCACAGGGCTTGGTTTTCCCATCTGTGAAATGGAAGGAATAGCAATTGCTATCTGGGAAGGCTGTGGTGAGGAATAAATGAGATAATAAATGCTGGCGTGTGTTGTAAACTGTAAAGTGCCGTAAAGTGCTATGGAGCACACACTAGTTAGTGTTGGTATTCTCCAGGGACCACGGCTCGCTGGTAAAGGAGAAAGAAGCTCAGAGAAAGGAAAGTTGCAGTAGGTGGAACTTCGGGGTTGTCATGGGAACCAAAGCTCCGAGGCTGATCAAGGCAGGAAATACCATCTGCTTTTAAACACCCAAAGCCTCCACTCACACTGGACTTATTTCTGTAAACAGCAAAATTAACATCGTTCTGTAGCAGCAATGTCAGCCCAGAACAATCTAGAGATGGTCTTTCTCCTGAGTTCCCTGGTCAGATCTGGATGGAGCATCTCAGGAGCTCCTTATCCATCCGTTGTCACCTCCAGAGAACTATGGACAAGTCACTGGGTAAATCTGAGCTGGACTGGAAAGAAAACCTGGCTCAAAAATGCCCTCGCACTCCCTCCTGGCCTGCAAGCATGTAGGGAAGGCTGAAGGTGGTGTCCATGGATAGCAGGGACCCGGTCAGAGCTGAAGTGGGGAGGTGCTTAGAGAGCACCTCATCCTCCTATAGCTTTTGGGTGCTACCCCAAGCCCAAGATGATGTGGGGCCTGCCCAGGGCCATGTGGCACATCATGACAAAACTGAAACTTAAATTCACAGCTTTTCCACGTCATCAATGGCTTCTTCCTTTTTGATATCTGCTCCAGCATCATAGCATTTCTGCCAGGGAAACATCAGGACTGAGATTTCTCTGGTTCCCTAGGGGTTCCGTGAAATGAAAGGATTCTGCATCTCCCAGGGATTCGACACAGGAAGCCATCATCTCTTTGTTGTTTTCTTGGAAGGAATAAGATCTCTGTAAACTACACAAACCCAAATGAATACGGGTAAAATTTTAAAAGCAAGAGGGTTACACCTTTGAGGTGTGAAAATCTAGAGCAATTTTTATTGAAGCCCCAAATCCCTCAGAGGTCTCCAAGGGACCTTTCTCATGGGGGCTGCTAGGACTGCTCTGAGCAGAGAGCACTGCTGGGAATGTGCGCCTAGGGGGCCGCTGCGCGCTGTGCAGCCTGCTTGCCCTCTCTGAGCCGCTTCTCCACGTGCACCAGGTGCAGGGTTGGTGTGACCATCTCTGAGGTCCCTTCTAGCTCTGACATTCTGTGACTTGGTAACCGTTTTCTAAGAAAGGAAAGGAGCTCCACTGCTCCCAGGTCACCAGATGCCCTGTTCATCAGATGAGGTATACCTGAGCTGGAAGCATCAATATTGACCCTTTGGCTCCTTGCTGGCTGGGTCCTGGCAATTTCCTATGATTGTGATTTAAGGGAAATAATCTATCCAGTGTCAGGGTGGGGGCATCTGACACCACTGCCCCAGCCATGACCTCAGGACCTTTAGTCTAAACTGGCAGGTCATAAGCAAGGGTAGTGACACAGAGCACATGCCCCAGGCTGCATTTACCCCCAGCACCCCCCACACCCTCAGACACTTAGACTCTACCCCCAGGGCTCCTCTTTCCTGTGCCCATTCATTGGGTTAAGGCTGCCGTGTTTCTGGGAGTGGAGTGGCCAAGAGCCATAAATCCCTTGACCCCACAGCTCTGAGGGGAAGCCTCACTTTTGGGGGTGCCCTGGCTGTTTCTGTTGTGTTAATGGGAAGTTGCATCTCGTGGGAGTGCTCACTTGCCTTCTGTCCCCAGCGTAGGCAAGGTCCTCGCATCCCTTTTCTACTTGCTCGGAGCCATAGGAACCACTTCATAGCTATCTCAAGGGAACCCCATGCCTCAGCAGCAGGCTTTGGGGATCTCTGGGGCTTCCAGGGCTGCACGATTGCCCAAACTTTGGGGGAGGGAAGACCTGGGCAGCACCATCTGAATCCACTTCCTGCATGGCAGGAAAATTGAGACCATGACTGTTTCACATGGCCCAGCAATTCACCATTCAGTTGGACTTGAGAAATACCTAATAGAAGAACTAAAATCACAATATTCACGAGAGCCAAGATTGGAGACAGCGCAAGTGCCCGTCAGTGGAGGATTGGATGGGGAAGATGTGTATATCCACAATGGAGCACACTGCTCAGCAAAAGAAAAAAAAATAACTAAATCTTAACACATGCAACAATGTGGACATCCCTGGGCGGTGTTGTGCTCAGTGCAATAAGCCGGGAAAGGACAAGCACCATCCGAGTGACTCCACTTATAGGTGGTAGATAAAAAAGCAAGATGAGGGCCTCCCTGGTGACACAGGGGTTAAAAGACACACTATCAAGCTATTGCCAGCCATTGCAGCACAAGTTCGATCCCTGACCAGCCAGGGAGCAACCCACATGGCG